GACATCGTGTTCATTTTGGAGGCTTAGGCGCCCCCGGTACTCTCCAATGTAATATCCGCATGCTTATCCGCATAGTGCTTGCGGAGGTTATTCGTGCAGGTGGCGCGGGGTCTAAAGGCAAATTAGTATTGATTTTCAGGAGGTGGTTGTAACGAAACCTTATCTATATTCGTTCAGAAACTAAGGCACTGAAGACTGTCTCAATTAGGATAGCTAACAGGATATGATATTATCCCAGCAACAAGCAGTACACCCTGTTGCATTAAGGCTTGCTGCCTACTCAGTTTGCCAGATGAATCCCTTCGTAGCTTTGTTGCTTTGTCCTCATGAAGATATATGAATGGCTTCATGGCAGTGAGACTGCTCTTATCTTTAGCAATTTACAGACCACTTCTTGCTTCCTCTACACGTAGATGCTACGTGTATTACACACTATCTACCTATGATCAGTTTATATACAGATAGTTATAATCTCAGCACCAAAAGGACATCCCAGACCTACAAAGTCAAACTATTCACATATATTGACGTTCCTCCACATGAGTGATATGTTAGAAATGAGTTCCTAACAAGGTGCGGGTTACTACATACTTACATATATAATTTCGTCTCCAAGATGTGGGATCATCTACCCTAGGTGTTTCTGATTAATAACAAGAACACCATCAGATGTCTACGCTTGGTGTTTGTTATAAATATTGTTGGTGGCCTGGCTGCCTCAGCCTCCTCCTTCCTCACTCTCCTTCCTCACTCTCTCTTCTCTCACATGTTCATCACTTATCTCTCATCTCCCACTCTCTTCTTTTCAAAATTCCTTCATAAAACCATTGTGTCCGTGTGGCAGAATGGGGTCCGTGTGAAGAGGCACTTCAAGACCGGCCGGCCTTCGTGCACCGCTACAATGTCAGAACGGGGAGCTGGCTTCCTACCAAGGCCATGGGATTACAACCCAAGCCCAGCAGTCTATCATCCATGGAACCTAGTTCAGCTGGGAGGAAAGGACACGGGTGCGTGGCACAGCTTTGTTATGGAGGACAATCAGAGACACTGATACCGTTCAAGTGGCATTAGGCAGTGTCTTATCCTTAGGCGAGCTACAGGACGAGACGGCTAGAGCACTCATCTTCCAGAGCTTTCTGGGGCCACTAATGGCTACTGAGCACTTGAAAATCCCTTAGGACGATGATTAGGGGTACCTCTTGCCTCAAGGGATCAGAAACTCGCAAATCATTACGCCAGTGACTATCACTGCAAGTAAGTGCACATGGAAAACAGAAGAAGACGTTATTGACTGAATCCATCGCTGAAGCGCATTATTTAGCTTTAATGATGGCAGACCCACCCCATCCACCGAAAAATGCAACACATGCAACAAGGCCTATGGCATGGAGGTACTTTGACTATCCTCGTTTGTTCTTCTCTCTCTCGGTCTCCGTATCATATGTTGTATGTCGTTAGAGAAGAAGAGAAATGGGCTATTTCCTGTCTCCGACCCAACCGTGTTCCAAACATTGAACATAAATAGAGCGGCCCGGATGACCTTGAGCATTGTCATAACATCTGCCCTTATGGGCTTCCAGCTGAGGTCTTTGCATACTAGGGGGCATGCGCTCACTCTGCCTTCCGTGAGGTCATTGGGCTGTTGGACGGACACCAGCTTCATACGGCCCTGGAGGGAAACGACAATGAACCTCTCGCAACAACTTGTGTTCTCGGAACCTGACCAAGTGAGCTGGCGGAATATCGGCCCATCCCCTCCATGGGCAACGACGGACTTGAGCAGCTCACTCAGCTCGTGAAAGATTCTCCACGATAAGATGTTGCGTGCCTTCTTGGCCTGTTATGAGACACAGCACCCAAGGTTGGTTTGCCATTTACAATGCCATCAGTTTCTTCGAAGGCCTTGATGGGGAACCCGTTGATCCCCATGCAGTTGCGCATGCTTGGAAGTTACACTGGCTGCGCGAAGACTGGTAGTTGAATCTTGGGCATTTCAATATGCAATCTGCTGAGGCCTACGGGAGTGGCCCTGGAAGAGTGCCGGAAGGGGAGACCATCCTATAACTTTGAATGATGGCCAAGAATAGAGACACCAGAGAAAGACGTTTACAAGATACTCATGGCTGTTTGCCCCTTGCGAATCAAGGATGACTAAATATATGGCGGCAATCGCTATGTCGCCAGATTATTTAGCATTGCAAAGGATGAAGAGGCACGCTTTACTCGATTCTTGATGCTGGCCGAGGACAAAAGCGGACTGTTGCCGGATTGGTGGTCCCCTGCCATTAGTCCCGAAGGGGAGGCCACGCTATAACTTCAGATGATAGCCAAGCATCGAGCTGGCTAGATTCCTGCATCAGCCTCACTTGACGTACAGGAAACGTCTTTGCGGGCTTCGGAGTTTAGGACCGTTGGATGCCTGATTGGTGCCTAATTAGTCAGGCATTCACAACTCGCCTCTGCATCACCGCGCTGGTCACCTCTCGCATCTGCGTCACTAATGTTGTCACCTTGTCACATTGCTCCCATCGGAATCGACTATGTACATTGTTTCTCCACAGATCTCCTTTGTAGTACGATTCCAAGGACACATCTGTATCACCGCCTCCAGAGTAGAAATTGGAGTTTACTTCGAAAATAGTTATGCTCCATATAATTTCAAACATTTCAATAGGATAACACATTTGTGGAAGAGAACTTCGGAAAAGCAAAAGAGCAACTTTCCCCGGGATGAACACACTGGCGCCTCCACATTTCGTTAAAAAGGGTAATGATCTCCTCCCCAATTAGCGGGGAATATTACTCTTTACTATTGCATCTCCAACCCTCTTGACACCAATGCAGTCATACAATCAAACTAGGCGGGGTATCAGTGTCAGCGTCGATTTATCTGGCTTCTGGTTGGATGTTTCTCTACTTGATGCTCATACAAGACCCCTCCATGACCACGGATAACCGGCGTGCGAAGGATACAAAATGGCACCGTCTCATCTATCCCAGCTACTGGAACACTTTCTCCTAAATCCCAATCCCAATATCTGAATTGAACTTCCTTATCACATCCACCATGGTCGGCGTCGAAGTAGACAACCTTGCAGTCAACGACGGCCCCTTGACATCAGAGAATGCCACCCTCCTTCGCCCCTCAGACCCAGCCCTCCCCCTCGAAGAGCTCCGCAAGAGATACGACAAGGATGGATACCTCTTACTGAAAGGAATCCTCCCCCGTGAGGACGTCCTGGCCGCCCGCAATGCGTACTTCTCCTCCCTGGAATCAACGGGAGTCCTGAAGCCCGGCACAGCACCCGTCGAAGGTGTCTTCGACCCCGCCAAAAACCATTTAGACTACCCTGGCATTGGAGCCGGCCACATTGGCGGGAACGGCAGGCCCGGTGGTGAGCGAGCAGCGGCCTTTGTTGACCTTGCTCTCGATGCACACTACCAGGACTGGTACGCGAACAAGTTCTGTAACCATCCAGCGCTGTATGATTTCATTGCGCGGTTCTCTGATTGGGGAAATAATACATTGAGCTTGCGCCGCACACTTCTCAGGAATAATCTCCCTGGATCGAAGCCAATTGGCGTGCACTATGATCAGATCTTCTTGCGATATGGAGACCCGACGAGTATCACTGCTTGGGTTCCCATGGGGGATATCAAGCTCAATGGGGGTGGATTGATCTACTTGGAAAATGGTTCGTTTTGGCCCTGTCTTTGATCAAATTTTCTTGGAGAAAAGTTTGTATACTCATTGGGTTTGCGCAACAGGTGACAAAATTGGAATTGAAATGGAAGAAGCCTTCTATACCAAAGCGAAGCAGGCTGGGATGACCGATGAAGAGGCCAAGTCGGCTTTCAACTCGAATATGATGTCCACGGGTCTGCTTTCAGAGTTCCCTACTGAGTTCGCTCGGGAGCATGGTCGACGATGGATGGTGTCGGCGTATGAGGCGGGTGATGCGGTGTTGCACAAGCCTCATATGGTGAGCTGCTCATTCTTTACACGGAATGCCTGATTATACTGACACTTTGTTCAAGATCCACGCTTCCACTGTCAACAACGATCCGGACAATGTCATCCGTCTTGCGACAGATCTACGGTTCTGCGACTCGTCCAAACCTTATGATAAGGTAAGTTTCAATGAATATGTATTATAAGCCTGAGCAGCCAGGGACAGTGGCTTACGATTATTTACAGAGATGGACAAACTCTTATACCTTCAATGACGGTGTATAGGGTTTTATTGGAATGGAGCGAACATCAAGCCCAGGGTCAATAGTGTTTTATTATGAACGATTTCTTCAACAATTTGAACATTGAAGAAATCCATGCCAGCCCCCAATCACAATGTAATTTTTATTTTTGATAACTATTCTGGAAGACTGTAAAAAAGAAGGACATGGTGATTCGGCATAAGTTGCATAGGGTACAAGTTGAGACAGAATAGCATGCAAGCATGGGACAGTATCACTCCCTCATTCCAGTCGCTTTAAATTACTGTTCCAGCGAGTCCATTCTTCTTGGCAGAATCATTGTGATCAAACAAGGGTGCACTTGATTCGCAGGAGAGTTTGTTGCTGGAATGTGTTCTATCATTACTAAGGATTGACATAGGCCCCTAGATCCACGAAGGCACACTTTGCTCAAGGAACATTTGTTTTCTATAGTATCAAGACAAGTTCATAAGACGAACAGTTTCCTCCAACTATCTCAGCTGAGATAGCAAAATTTGAATTGACTTAGAAGAAAAAAGAGGAAGATGCACCAGAGATATAAACATCGGCATTCAAGTACTATGAACCCTCATTCCAAATAATTGAAAGAGACTGGCATTTCGGTAATTTCAGTCCCAAAAATAGGGTCGTAGACCCAGCCTCTCAGGCGTTGAATCTTATAACAGTTGCGACCCGTGAGATTTACCTGTTCCCTATTATCAGGGAAGTATCCCATTTTCCGGTACCCACCACTTGATCACCACATACGCTTCAATCCATACAATATGTCGCAAGTTACTTCAAGGGCATCATGGCTCTCAGTCCTGTTGGTGGCACTGCTAGCAGTGTCTACTGTCAGCGCGCATCCAATCCACCAGACAGATGAAAAGATGGAAAAAGGACAAGCTGGAAATCTTGAACTTCGATCACCGGTTAGTCACTCAGACATGGCATTCTATCATTGAAAGAACACACGGCTAACATAAGCACAGAGACTTATCCCAGACACCCAGAAGTACCTCCATGATCTCCTGCAAGGATTGGGCCTGCAAGGACCAACTGCAACCCCGACCCTAACACCAACCGCAACACCAACTCGATCCGCAACTACAACTGCAACTGCAACACCAACAGCCACGCCCACTGCCAGAGTCGAGACCGAGCAAGACTTGGAGAACATGCCAACACAAACAACGCACATTGTCTACTCGAGCTCCACCAGCTACACGCCCACTGCCAGCGTCGAGACCAAGCAAGACTTGGAGAACATTCCAACACAAACAACGCACATTGTCTACTCGAGCTCCACCAGCTACACGCCCACTGATAGCAGCAATCCGGCGGAATACACCCATACCGTCAAAAACATACACAACCACACCAGACCGGTCGAGAACATCCAGGTTGGACACGGTTGGAAGTGGGGTAATAAAATTACAGCTGATGATTTACCTGCTATCTTTGATGCTGTGTATAAGGAACTGGCGCATCGACTCAGCGATAGGATTAACAGCTCTGATGAGGTTGGAGTGGAGAACTTCCTGTGATGAAAATATCAAATTCTAGGAAGAATGAAGGGAATGAAGGAATATTGATTCTGGAAAATGCGAACTTGAAAACCAATGCTTGTCTTTGATTCTATACTATGTACTACTATATTGGATTTAGTTCTATTTTATATCTCATTAGGAGGTTATAGTCATACGCAAAACGCGTTTTGAGGCATGTGGTCTTAGAATACAGGCAAATCCAAAATATCATGCTTTCAACAATCATTTCTATGTGTTTCCTAATATTTGCATGACATCAATCGCCACTGTATCCACCGTATAGTCCCCCGGATGGGGTTTGAACGCTAAACTCCCTTAATTCCGTGTTCGTTCCGAGCACAACCCCGGAGATCAGCAATACAAATCCGCAGGCTATGCCCGGAGCGCAGACGAGAAGTTCGGAGACGGAGTCATTAACGTGAGGGTTTATTTAGACGGACGAAGTGATCGCCCGAAGCTCGCGGTAACAACCTGGGAATGTCCTTAACTGCGACAAATCTAACCCGACGGCGGGGCACTATCTCGAAAACATAAAAGGCTCGTCACAACCCACCAAGTTCAACATTCAACCAACTATCTCATCTCACTAAAGTTTTCACACTCATCTTTTATATCTAATCATGCCTTCTCTACTTGGAAAGGAAGTCGGTGCCATTGGCTATGGCACGATGAGTGCGATTCCCCCCAAACACCACAATTGGCCGGCATTTTGCTAACCATAAAATCAGGAATGACCTGGAACGCGCAGCCTCCATCACATGAGGTGTGCTTTGAGACACTTAACACTACCCTGGAACTGGGTGCCAACTTCTGGAACGCTGGCGAGCTGTACGGCACTCCGGAGTACAACTCCCTGCACCTGCTCAACAAGTACTTCACCAAGTATCCCGAGAACGCAGACAAGGTCGTTCTCAGTGTCAAGGGTGGCTTGAAAAAGGGTGAGCTTGCCGTGGATGGCTCGGAGGAGAACATCCGTCGTAGCGTGGACGAATGTCTGCGTCTGCTTGATGGCAAGAAGAAGCTTGACATTTTTGAATGCGCGCGACAAGACCCCGCCTTCCCGGTTGAGCAGACCATCAAGGTCCTCGCAGAGTATGTCAAGGAGGGGAAGATTGGAGGAATTGGATTGAGCGAGGTTGATGCCGCGACGATCCGCCGAGCGTATGTGCCTCTACAATATCTTTCTGATTTTATGGTCTTCGTCTTCCTATGGACAAACTCAACTCTAACTGCTTCTCTAGACACAAGGTGCACCCAATTGCTGCTGTTGAGGCTGAAATGTCCTTATGGTCTACCGATATCCTCGATAATGACATTGCCAAAACCTGTGCGGAGCTCGACATTCCCGTTATCGCTTACTCGCCACTCGGCCGAGGTGTTCTGACCGGAACCGTGACCTCGCTGGCCGATATCCCCCACGATGATATTCGGCGCCACATGTCCCGGTTCCAGGAAGAGAACTTCAAACACAACCTGAAGCTCATCAACGAGGTCAAGGACCTTGCTACTCGCAAAGGTGTTGCCCCTGCTCAGATTGCACTGGCATGGATCCGGACCAAGAGTGACAAGCCCGGCATGCCTACTATTATTCCCATTCCTGGCGGTACTACGAAGGACAAGGTGGTTCAGAACATGGGCGGTGCACAGGCGCTGACGGATTCCGAGATGGCTGAGATTGATGCTATTTTGGAGGAACACACGGTTTCTGGGCCTCGATACTAGGGAGTTCCTGCGAGATATCTTTATATTCATTAGACTTGGATCGTAGCAAAAATGAGAGATGTGTGTAATGCCAAGGGTTGTTTTGTTGTATAGGTCAGATCAAGTGTAGAAGAGTCAACAAACAATCTCACATGTAATAGGTGATTGTCAGGATTGCAAATTCAATATGATCATCATGTAGTATTCAGGGCAATTGAAGATATTTGGTGTTGCGTAGAGTTCATTATATAGGGTAGGGTGTACAGAGGGCAAAGGCGAGCTTACCATTGGGTCAGTGTGGTCCACTAATAGAGAGGAGGTCTGTGCATCAGTAAATGAATCAACATAAGATTCTAGGAAATGATAAATAGCATGATGAAGACAAAATCTGCATCAACCAATACATGTAAGGACAATGGAGGAAGAAAGAGGAAGAGAATGGGTGTTCAGTTGTGACCAGCTCGCGGTCGATCACGTGACCACAACTCATACTACACGGCTGAACACGTGATGTGATACGATGGCCTCCCTCGCGCGACATCTACGTCGTAGCTAATAGATCCAATTTGTCTGTTGCCACTTCACTTTTTCTGTACGAGCTATACCATCCACAATGGCTTCACGAGACTCTCCCGGTTCTCCTTTATCCTCGGTGGGATCTCTCGAGACTTCAGATCATGAATCAATGAAACATGAAAGCCGCGCGCATTCGCCCTCGATGTCCAACATGCCGCCCTCCAAGCGTCGCCGCACCGGCGTCGCGTCCTGGGACCGGCAGACTCCTCTTTCCTCAGCCCAAGACGAAAACCAACCACCTCCCTCCCCGACTGCCTCAATTTCCTCCGATAGCTCCGGCGATATCCCAAACTCCCCAAGCATCCTTACTCTCCTTGGCACCAATCAAGAAGAAGACTATAGTGGCCAGAGCACTGACCAGGTCACTATTTGCCGATGGGATGGATGCAATGCTGGCGACCTCGGCAACATGGATGGGTTGGTGCAGCACCTCCACAACGAGCACATCGGGAGCCGACAGAAGCGGTACTCGTGTGAGTGGACCGATTGCACCCGCAAAGGTCAAACGCATGCTAGTGCTTATGCCCTGCGCGCACATATGAGAAGTCACACCCGCGAGAAGCCATTCTACTGCACTCTACCAGGTACGTTGTCTCAGACCCAGGCTCGAGCCCTCCAAACGGGGTATGATGATAATAGATCTCGAATACTAACAATAAAGTACAGAATGTGACCGCAACTTTACCCGCTCTGACGCCCTAACCAAGCACATGCGCTCTGTTCACGAGACCGACACCATGCGCCCAATTGACTCCATCTCAAAAGTCCACGGCACCCCGGGCAGCACTACTGGCACCCCAGCCTCGAAGCTGCAACGCATCCGCTTGAAGCTGACCCAGCCCAGGGAGCCGGGAACTGAGTCTGAGCCACACACCGAAGCAATCACTATTGTGCCAACCCCCATCATCACGACCGACGCACACGATCCCGAAGAGACCTCGATGCCGGAGTTTGGCCCAGAGCTCGACTTCGACGAATCGGAGCTCGCCCTACCCCCGCGCGACCTCTACCGTCTTCTCCGTCGACAGATCGCATGGGCTGGCAAGGAGGCTACACAGCTGCAAGCCGAGTGGGAGACAATTCGCCCGCAGCGCGAGCGTGCATGGCGCGAGAAGGAGGCTATTTTTGACGACCTCATTGACGCAGAGATTGGGCTGTTCAGCGCTATGGTCGGCTCGGTACCCCCTGCACACCTAACGACTAGCCTTGAAAAGTTGCAGCAGCAGCAGCAGCAGTTCCAAAATCAACAGGAGCAGCTGGCGAAGTCGGCAGAGGTGCCGACTATCGAGGGCAACACTTAGCTGCCTTGTCTTTCATTTCTCTCTTCTCTCTCCTCCCTCTACTTTGCTCCTCCTTTTCTTCTCAAATTTCTCTCCCCTGGAGCCATGCTCGGTTAGCTTGGTCTCAGTAATGTGTCACTTTGCAGTTACCGTTTCATCTGTTGTCCCTCATATCCCGGCGTGCATGGCGTTGGTGAATGTGTTTTTTTATTTGTATTTTCAAACCTAGGCAGAAAAGAGGTGTCCTGCAACGGAATGTATGAATAGCCTTTTCTTTTCTTTCTTTTTGGTATGGCTCGCAGGCCTCGCTTGTTCAATGACAGCTCACCACTATGGGTGATGACAACAATTATATTGTCAATAATCATGATTTTCTTTTCATCTGGGTATTATAACACAAGGCTAGATAGAAGAGTCCATGTCACAGTCGTGAATAGGCACGTATATCGTCCTATAGGGCATCTTTATTTTCTTTTCAGTCTCTCTGGTCCCTCGGGGCCTGCCAAGCATGAGCCAGCTAGATGTAGGAGCTTTCATAAGCACATGTAGATGTATGTGGATTGATAGATCTGGATACTTTTGTTCGAGGTCAACCACCTACGCCCTGGCGTGTATATGCAGTGGTTTACAAATACTTAGTCTTGAATGATAATTCATACTGATGCCAAAGGACCCTGGTCTTACGTTGCTTCTAACCAGAAATAAAATCGAAGGATGTCAAATAACACGCTCTCCACTGAATGAGCCCAGGAAGATAAAATCAGTCGACACCGTGACAGCCACTCCATAAGATACATGTGCTGAGAAAGAAAACAAACTGCCTTTGATTACGGATGCCTTCATAGGAAGAAATCCTGGTATGCTCACGGCATACAAGAAAAGCAAACTAAAGCAAAGGGGATATGATATGAGTGGCTCAATCCAGGCAAAAAAAAAGACCATGGAGAGCCAGACCAAAACTCCCCCATTGGAAAACATTGAAAAAAAAGAAACCCCCAAACACGCCATGCAGTGATCATCCAAGACCGTAGGTCATGCTCATTTCGAAAATTCTTCTTTCTGTGCTTTTGGGGCTCACGCAAAGAAGTCGACGCCATTCGCAATGCCACAAGTTGCATCCATATGTACCTTCAACGAACAAAGAGCAAAAGAGAGAGACGGAGGTCACCTTGATGGGGTTAGATAGTTCAAGGAATTGTGCGAGATGTCTGAAGAACATGACAATAACAACGACTCCAAGAACGTGAGTCCAATGCAAGAATACCGAAATAACGTAGTTCAAGATGTGAGTGGGAACATTGTGGAGAGAGTAGAGGGAGCGGAGATCGCAAAAAAAAATACGCTGAGTGTCTATCATCAAAAAAAAAAAAAGAAAAGAAAAAGGATAGGTAGATATCTGATATCAGAAACGCTGAACATGCATGTCATCAAACCGTGCTAAAGTGAAGTTGAACTGAAACAAAGAACACCTGTACCCATTGTGCGGATGAGATACGGAACTCCTCAAGCCGAGCTGCCATTAGAAGCCTTGGAAGCTTTGCTGGCTTCCATGACCTTATTGAACATCTGCTGCAGCTTAGCACCACTGGCGTCTTTGTTCGGCCAGTAGTTGAGTGAAACGTAATCCCTGAAAGTAAAGTTAGAACGTGAAAAGGTGAAATGATAGTAAAGAAACTTACCAGAGTCGGACCTCCAAGGAGGGCATCGATTGCGAGCCCTCCAGAGTATTGCGAATGAATTCTCCAATCTTCACAAGGGTAAGACGGAGTTTCTGGGCCCGCTCGTTTTTGCTTGGGTAATTTTTGGCAGTGATCATTGACACTTGCTTCAAATTGGCAACGATAGGCTTGAAGAACATGAACGCCATGTCTTCTTTATTAGAACCACCATTCTCATGACCTTTGCGGCGACGAAGCTCGTCATTGGAGGCGTCAGATAGACGATGGCGTGGACGAGAGTCATGGCTGGGAGTATTATGACGGTCTCCCTCCCGGCTGCCATGCGTGTGGGGGCGGGGCCGTGATCGATCCGATTCGCGGTGGCCCTTGCGGGGATTCTCAGGCCTGCGAGAGCTCGAGGGCGCCGGAGAGGCGGAGACACTGCCACTACCGGAAACCCGTGAGCCACGCTTATTGTTGCGGTGATGATTGTCGACTGCCCTTCTTGCTGTAGCATTGTTATTGTACTTGTTTCTCAGAACAGACATGAGGTATTCAGCTCGTCGAACAAGGTGGACAGCGCCCGGTGACTTTGTTGCCTTCTCCTCGGTCTGCAGGCGTTGTGTCTTTCGCTCCACTCGGTGTTCCTCGAGGAAGAACTTGTCGCCGAGACCAAGCTCAGTGTCATCGCGAATCTGGGTCCATGCACCAAATCCATGGCGAGCGATACCCACAAGAAGCATTCCGTCTTCACGCGCACCCCACTGGCAGCTGTAGTCCGCCAATTTGGTAGCTTCAGGGAGCCGGAATGTCCTGAAATCAGCCAAGGATTTGATGATGCTTCGGATAAGGCGCATATCCGGTGGACGCTCAACGATAGTCCATGCATTGAGTCGCTTGACACCGTGATGGTCGAACAAGACGGCCTTCTGCTCTTTCTTCGTAGGGTTCCTACCAGATTGCTTCATGGCCTCTAATTGATCCAGACTTGCTTGGACAAGCGAGTTTGCCTTGTCGGTAATTTCATGAAGAGCATCACGAACGGTGCCCCGATCGCGAGTTTGTAACCTGGCATCCTCGAGAATGAGCTCTTCAGAGTCATCCAGATCGCCGTAGCGAAGGAAAGCTCGAGAAAGCGCACGGTATTCTTTTTCTCCGAGGGGCCGCTTGGGGTCCAACGAGGCACTCTCTTCCTCGCCATCGTCGATATTGACTTGAGCTCTTGCGAGTCGTTTCGCCTTGCGTTCCTCTCGTGAATCTGTCGTGTCGGTGGGGGCGTGGCGCTTGCGGGGTCGATTTTGCTCAATGACTTCAGCAAGATAATGGTCATCATCTTTGCGCTTTTCCTCGGCCTTGAGCACTTCGAGCTGTTCCTTGGGAATGATATCGTCCCATGTGAGATCGTCAACTTTGATGTCGACGAAGTCGAACGCTTTCAAGAATTCTTCACCACCGTCGGCTTGGATTTGCTCGGCCTCTTCAGTTTGGTGCAATTCTGCGTTTGCAAGGACTGAATCGATATCAAGCTGCTCCAGTTTCTTCTGGTTGTCGGTTTGTTCGAACATCTTCTGACCGCGGCGCTTGAGGATCCGAGAGATATCGTCTGTGGAATTAGGCTCGGCAACCACGCGAGCCATCTTGTTTTGCATCTCCGAGGCTTCTTTGTCCGTAACACCACGCTGGATGGTGATGAACTCGAGCAAGAGCTTGTTGCGCGCTCTTTCAATGACTTCTTCTTCGATTGTATCCTTCGACACAAGGCGGTAAACGCTGACGGGTCTTGTTTGACCGATTCGATGAGCACGCGCCATAGCCTGCAAATCAGCCTGGGGGTTCCAATCCGAATCAAACAGAACGACAGTGTCTGCAGTCATAAGGTTGATACCGAGACCACCTGCGCGTGTTGAAAGAAGGAATGCAAAGTCGGTGCTACCAGGAGCATTGTAATGCTCAATTGCCAAGCGACGGGCGGCAGACGGGATAGTTCCATCAAGCCGTTGATATTTGTAACCACGGTACTCCATATACTCACTCAGGATGTTCAGCATGCCAACCATCTGACAGAATATCAGAACTCGATGGCCATCAACGCTCAACTTGCGGAGGAGTTGATCGAGAAGCATCATCTTTCCACTGCTGGTGATCATGGCTCGAAGGATATCTTCTCGACGACTACTGCCTTGCAAAATCTTTGCTTCTGCGTTGGGGAACATAAATGGGTGGTTGCTAGCCTTTTTCAATTCCATCATGATGTTCAGAAGAGACTGCTTCACCCCCCTGTTCCCGTCGTTTAGCGCAGCGTAGTTTTTCGTCAAGATGTTCTTGTAATATTCCAATTGGACATCGGAGAGCTCCACTCGAATGATTTTCTCAGTCTTTGGGGGAAGATCCGACTCGACCTTGGACTTGGTACGCCGCAACATGTAAGGTTGAATGGCGTTAGTTAATTCCGCAAGTTTTTGAGAAGCTGCCTCGGAATTCAAATCCATGTCGACATCGACTTCAATGAGGCCCGGATTGAGGAAATCCATTAGTGCAGAGAGCTCAGCAAGGTTGTTTTGGATTGGGGTACCAGTAATCAAGAGGCGTGCCTGGCATTTCCATTCGAACAACTTCATGTAAAGTTGTGAATCGCGATTCTTGAGACGGTGTGCCTCATCCACTGCCATGAATTGCCACTTGAATTGGCCGAGGAACGGTGAATCATTCATTGCATACTCGTAAGTTGTCAACAGAACGTGGAACTTTGGACGTTTGGGATTCCCATCGACCATCAATTCATAATCGCGCAAAATGGAGCGCGCCTTTTCACTACCGTTGTAAACAACGTAGTTGAGGTCCGGTGTCCAGTGATCAAAGGTATCAGCCCATGCTGGCATAGTAGACAAGGGAACGATGACAATGAATGGCCCTTGCTGCCGCCTGATATGGCGCATCCAGTTGATGAATGAGACAGTTTGTACAGTCTTTCCGAGACCCATCTCATCTGCTAAAACCACATTGCGACCCCTGACCCAATTGAAAGCCAAGAAGTTTAGACCTTTGACTTGGAAGTCCTTGAGTTCTCCATTCTGCAAGAAACTAGGGGTTCCATGGATGGGCTCGAAGGATTTACGCGTGGCAACATTTATCTCGTTCTTGTCGGAGATGGGTTGTCGAGCGGTGCGGTCCAAGAATCGGTCAATCTCACGCTGTGCAATCTCACTAACCAGGTCCTCGGGCTCCCAAGTACAGGAATCATAGAAGAGACGTTTCCATTTGACAAGGTATTCCGTGGTACCATCCTCGCCATCACGTACACCAATGACTCGTTCAACCTTTTTGTAGTCCTCTATGGCCTCAACGTCTCGTTCGCGATCGAGGTTCCACTTTTCGCGGTCTTCAGGAGGGGCGCCGACACTATACTGCAACCGAATATCCTCATTGAGCACCTTCCGAGCATAATTATCCACGCGTCGCGTGCTGCGGAAGTTAATAATAGATTCATTGCTTTCCCATGTAGCATGATAGTGTGATTTGTCCTGCCACTTGATACAAAACTCAAAGTCGTTGCGGTCGAGATCAGGAGCTTTGGGGTCGACGCCCTCCTTCAGGCGGTGATTCAGGACGACGTCGACAGCGGGGCGAGTGTCCTCCACATAACTCTCCGCCCAGTAGTTCGGTGGAAGATCATCTGGGTCTTCTTCAAACATGGCTTCGTCTTCCTCATCGTCCTCGTTGTAATTTGACACCTTCTTGGCGGTTCGCGTTGAGAAGCGGACCTCGTTCAATGAGGGCTCATAGCTAGTGGTTTGTTGCAGACGTCGCCTTCTTGCTTTGCTAGCACGAGCACTCTTTCCACCATACTCATCACTGTCCGACTCGGATAGGGACGACACAGTAGCCGATCGGGAGGCCTTAGATGGCTGTTGGGATGGATCTTTGCGCCGACGCTTAGTACGGGGTGCAACATCATCCGAGTCTGAATCAGATGAGTCGGCGAGATGGCGCGTCGTGCGAGCGCGACCACTTCGTCGAAGTCCATACAGATCAGGATTTTGTCTGATTAGGTCGGTTTCGCTAACCGGCGACGATTTGCGCTTCGCACCGCGGTCGGGGTGAGGGGATGAAGAGTTTTCACGGCTGTATGTGTTGGCGTCATAATCGCTGTTGTCCTCCGCTACGTCCTCATCTTCTGCATCTGAATCGGCAGACGCGCCGTCATATGAGTCGTCCGCGGCATCGGGTTCGGGGGAGGACTCGGAGACGGGGTGAGACTCCATGGGCTCGGATGGACTGCGCTCACGTTGGGTTACCGCATCGCCATCCATGTGGGTATCGTCGCCGACGGGCGAAATAGGGTAGCCATTAGACATGGTGGAGGTAGAAGGAGGTTCCTGAGCAGATGGGATCACCATGCCAGAGGCTATTACCGAGGGGCAGTCAGCATTGAAGCTCGATTCGGGCTAGGAGAGGCATGAAAGAGACAGGGACAGGTAAAACAATGGCACGCGACCCAAATTGCGCTCAAATGGAGCCTAAAATCTAGCAGAATGGGACAGGATATTGACTTTGATGAAAGAGTATGTTTTTTGATAACGGGTGGGATGGACGCGGCCAGGCTGGAAGCCAAAGCAATGGACAGATTGGTACACACAACCAGACTCAGAGAAGGCAGTGACACGCTGCTTGATCAACGACAGTCGAAAACTGTCCCGATCGGAACAGAATAGAGATATTCAAGGATTCGGGCAGTGGGTCGACAAGCGCGGAGAAGTACCGCGGCGAATGCTTCGGTCGGCACGTCTGTGCTTGAGGAAAAGATAAAATCACTTACACTCCATAGCGTGGTGACCCCGAAGGCGGGGGATCTGTCGATCAATGTGGGAAAGTAAATGGTGGGGGGAGGCGTGAAGCTGGAATCTTGGGGGAGGAGGAGACGAGAGACTTGGAAGAACTAAGAGTTGGGGACTGACTGGAGGGTTTGCTTCGGTTTGGTTTGCAGGGAAAGTTGACACCTGATCTATTAGGCAGCAATAAAGCTTGACCTTATTGGGTCTAGCGTATTCGCTTGGCGCCTGACACGACGGCTTATCACGTGGCTCGCGGATCTCGGATAAACCACCAATCCGAGCCAAAGTCTAACAGCCAATCACCGCCTTGATAAATAAGTGACGCAGCTGTGGCCTAAGGCATCACAGCCCACAGAAAGCAAAGTGCATTCAATTCTGCCGCCCCTCGTTCGTTGATAGTAGTGTTTCTTCCTGTCTTATTTCTCGTCGAGTCTGCGCAGAGACACTTGGTGCTTTTGCTGAGCCCAATTTATTTACCTGCGACAGCGCTTATTCGGCCAATTTCAACCTTCCACCCCACCTCCACTTGGTGCTGATTCTTTTTTTCAATCCGCTTCATACACACGGTTTCTTTGAACCACGCCACCCACCATGTCTGACAAGCTTACTCGGTATGTTCCCTGAGCCTTTGAAGTGCCATGTCACTAGCTAACGGTATATTTCTCTCTATAGTATTGCGATCATCAACAGTGACAAGGTTCGTCGCGAAATACCCCCACTAATAAGATTTTCTCCCCGGTTCATGAATGCCTGGCTCACACCACATCTTTCCAACTTTACAGTGCAAACCGAAGGTACGCGATTCGAGATAATATCTTGTGGTCTTCACGGAGGCTAATTAGTTGCAGAAATGTCGTCAAGAGTGCAAGAAGTCTTGCCCCGTGGTCCGCTCAGGCAAGCTTTGCATTGAGGTCGATTCCACTTCTAAGATCGCCTTCATCTCCGAGCGCCTGTGCATTGGTTGTGGTATCTGCCCCAAGAAGTGCCCATTCGGAGCCATCCATATCATCAACTTGCCCACCAACCTCGAGACCCAAGTCACCCATCGCTACTCGGCCAACAGCTTCAAGCTCCACCGACTTCCCATGCCCCGCCCCGGTCAGGTTCTCGGTCTGGTTGGAACAAACGGTATCGGAAAGAGTACCGCGTTGAAGATTCTCAGTGGCAAGCTGAAGCCTAACCTCGGTCGTTATGACAACCCTCCCGACTGGGAGGAAATCCTGAAGTACTTCCGTGGTTCCGATTTGCAGAGTAAGCAACATAGCCCAGGTACCACGGTCTCTATTCGACGTTGCTAACTGTGATAGACTACTTCACCAAGATTCTGGAAGACAACTTGAAGGCGGTTGTGAAGCCTCAATATGTCGATCAGATTCCCCGTGCTGTCAAGGGACCTATCCAACAGGTGCAGGCGCTTATCTCGGCGCGCGCTGCGCTGGGTAATGAGGAGGATATTATGGACGTTCTCGGTGCGTTTCCGTACTCCAATATTTCCGAGTTCACTTGCTAATCTTCGTCCAGAGCTGAGACAAGTTGCGCAGCGTGATATCGGTCACCTTTCGGGTGGTGAGCTTCAGCGTTTTGCCATTGGTCTGGTTTGCGTGCAGAAGGCCGACGTGTATGTTCTTCCTTCTTATATTCATGCCACTCAGTCCTGTCCGTTACTAATACTAATATAGGTACATGTTCGACGAGCCTTCCTCATATCTCGATGTTAAGCAGCGTCTGGCTGCTGCCCGCACGATCCGCAGCCTCCTCCGCCCCGATGACTATGTCATTGTTGTCGAGCACGATTTGGCCGTCCTCGATTACTTGTCCGACTTCATTTGCGTGTTGTATGGTCGTCCTGCTGTTTACGGTGTCGTCACTCTGCCTTCCTCCGTCCGTGAGGGCATCAACATCTTCTTGGACGGCCATATCCCTACTGAGAACCTGCGATTCCGTGAGGAATCTCTCTTTCCGTCTTGCCGAAGCTGGTGAGGAGTTCATTGCGGACAAGGATCGTGCCTTCGCCTATCCCTCGATGGAGAAGACTCTGGGTGACTTCCACCTGAAGGTTGATGCCGGAAAGTTCACTGACTCTGAAATTGTCGTCATGATGGGTGAGAACGGAACTGGAAAGACTACTTTCTGTAAGATGCTTGCTGGTGCATTGAAGCCCGATGGCCTTATCTCCGTCCCCAAGATGAACATCAGCATGAAGCCCCAGAAGATCACTCCCAAGTTCACCGGTACCGTGCGCCAACTCTTCTTCAAGCGTATCAAGACTGCTTTCCTGTCTCCTCAGTTCCAGACTGATGTCTACAAGCCCCTTAAGATGGATGACTTCATCGACCAGGAGGTTCAGAACCTGTCCGGTGGTGAATTGCAGCGTGTCGCTATTGTCTTGGCTCTGGGTATGCCCGCTGATATCTACCTGATTGACGAGCCTAGTGCCTACCTGGACTCCGAGCAGCGTATGATCGCTGCTCGTGTCATCAAGCGTTTCATTATGCACACCAAGAAGACCGCTTTCATTGTCGAGCACGATTTCATCATGGCCACCTACCTGGCTGATCGTGTCATCGTCTTCGATGGCCAGCCATCCGTGGACGCTCGTGCCCAGACACCCGAGTCTCTGGTCGGTGGTTGCAACAGGTTCTTGAAGAGCTTGGATGTCACTTTCCGTCGTGACCCCAACAGCTACCGCCCTCGTATCAACAAGTACAAAAGTCAAATGGACCAGGAGCAGAAGCTGGCAGGCAACTACGTAAGTTTTCTACCTCATCCATGGATGCTATCAATTCCATTTATAAATACTGTGCTAACTACATTCAACAGTACTTCTTGGAAGAAGAGAACTGAAAAGGGCGTTCACAACGAGCATCGTCGCCGCCGTCACAAACATGATGGCCGCGACTATGAGCAGCGGCGCAACAGGCGCCGTGGCGATTGGAAGATCATGTGGTTAATGGGGATCCCAGGCGTTTGCAGAGCCTCGGCGGTTCAGGGCAAGGGATGCCGTCACCGCGCCGGGCCCTCTTCCGGTGCCGATGACGGTCTCTCGGACGACGATGGTGATGACGACGATTTAAATGGCAACAGTGACCCCGACTAAAAGGTAGTGACCTGCTTCACGCCCTGCTATCCCTGGTCTAGTACGCTCATTTACTTCTGCGACCTGTTGCCATTCGTCGGTCTATCAACAAATGCCTATATCGTTATTCGCCTTGCAACCTGCCTTGATTTGCTATGGGTTTATTTAACATATCCAGAGTCATCGGCCCCCGGTTGGGAACACATGTCTACAGATCTTTCACTAGCACCTGTTAAATTTTAATGGTGGATTCGGTTCGGCATGGTTTATTGTTCCAACGGAGTTCTTATGTTTGCATTAGGTTGGAGGGTTTGGGTTCCAAAAAAAAGCTCTTCCATGAATTTTATGATTTGTTTAAAGATGGATGTCGCGTCCGAATGGATTGGTGATCAGGTTGTTTTCAGACTGGGGATGGCATGGAACAGGTGACTGCTGAAAAGCTGCCAGGTTCAATGCCTCTACGTGTAGATAGTTAGTTTTCAACCCATTGTTGTGCAGATGCTTTCCTATTTTTTAAAAAAATTCGCATTGAATTCAATTTCTTTAGAGCATGTTCCTGTGTCATCAAATCCCAATAAGGGAGCGTTAGCATTCCCTTTCAACCCAGAATGTCAATGGTATCGCTGAACCCGTCACATCCGTCATCACCAGCAGCAGCTTTGGCGTGGCGATGAGCCACTAGGTTCCATTCCTTCGGAATATGCCAGAACTGCACGCGGATCGCAGAATCATCTGCTCGTTCGATCTCTCCGAGCAGACAACGCCAGAGGTCCTGGTTCTCAACTGGTGCCCCCATATGCGTCTTCCAACCGTTCTGGATCCATTTCTGTAGGCACATTGCAATACCATCCACCACATATCTGGAATGGGTTGCTATCAGCATATCAGACCCTTCTGCATGCCACCATTGGAATCGCAAGGCTGCAACAACGGCGCGTAGCTCGGCTCTGTTGCTCGTTTGCGCGTGTTTCTTGCCAGTCGGTCCTTGGTTCTCGAGGGGAAAGCTCAAATAGCGTTTGCCTGGGGGATGGAGGATCCGAAAACAACGGAGCAACCGGCTGTCCGGTTCGCTCGGCCGTTGTCTAGACATGTACCACTCGCGTAGACCAGATATTGGGTGTGGTTGTTGGTGCGACGGATAAACTCATGTGGCCGCGGTGTCTCCTTGACTGAAACGCTAGGTGCGAAGAGTGACTGGGGCATATCAACACCCAGTCTTGGTGGTTCGAACTTTGTTGGAGTCGCACGACCGGTGCCGACTCGGAGCTTATTATGCTCCTTCGGGGCCATACCGAAGTCGGGTGCTTCGTTTTCTACTTCTTCCTCTCCATGTGCGAAAAAGCCATATTTGTAGCAGAATTCTCGAGGTAGGTGCTCCCTTGATAATGGGGGAGTAACATGGTAACTAGCCATTTTTATGGACATGTGTGATGGATGATCGAGCACCTACACAGAGTGTTAGCAGGCTTTTGTTCAGAAGAGTACGTATATGACCTGGGAGAAACTGACAGTAGCATGCCGTGAAGAGTGTCAAAGAGGGGAGAAAGGGGAGTGAGAAGAGACAAAGGTGGATGAGAAAACAGAAAGAGAAATAAAGTAAGGAAAGAAGGGAGGAAGAGGATATAGAAGAGAGATAGAGGAGCAGTCACCTTGGCCTCAGATCAGCCCTATATAGCCAACTCTTTTCCTCGTCTTTGCTTCTCCCATTAATGAATATAGCCCCCAAAGATGGATCCTTAGAATGGGATGGGACTTAAACCTGTCTTTAAACTATTTATATTGAGAGCCATGAGGGTTCTCTTGGAAATATATTCGTCGTTAATCCAAATGAAGTAATGTTAAGACATATATAAACTTCGCCGGGCTCGTGAACTTCAGGCTTCCTTTTATATAAACTGCATAGAGCATCATCTCTTGCAAGATATTATATGACAAGTTTCATAAATCTCTGCATCTGTCAATTTAACGTGTTACCCTGCGTAAGTTTATCTTCCATGGGTTGGTTCAAATGGCAAGTCCCAGATGGTATATAAAGTCAATCACAAATACGACCGATGCACAGGGAAGATATAGGTACACATGTAGAGCTGTGAATTATTTACCTGCAGACCTATTTGCGGGGGCTATTGGAAGGCAATATCAATGGGCAGGCCACGAGCCAAGAATGACTGGGAAATATAAAACCCGAAAGAGGTCCCTAGTAAAATCAATGATCCGATGAACGCCTACATCTGCTAGGAGTGCAATTAGTGCGGCATTAGGAGGAGCATTATGGGAGACACGAATGGTTCAGACCCCAACCTTTAACAATCACCCAAGCGTGAGGGCGAGCCCGACCTATCTTTGGTGTGCAAGTCGGATTTGATGCCTAGAGGGGACTACTAGGCCTAGAAGAAAGCAAATGAGATTGCAACATAGATTCAGCTCAATATCCTACATGTGCATTGAAGGGCAGAAATTACTTGCATATGAAGTCAAGTGTGAATGAAAATATCCACTCCCATCTACTCCTCTTCAATCTCTCCTTCCTCGCTGCCAGAGTGAATGGCCTTCTCGTCCTTCTTTGCGTCCTCCGTTTCTTCTTCCGGAATAGCAGAGCGTTCCCGTCGGGGGACTCTTGGGCCCTTGCTGCGCTCTCGCTCACGGCTATCACGTCGGTACCGCTTGGCAGAACGGCTAGCCACGCTCTCGGTATCACTGTCACGTCGACGTCGGCGGTCACCACTGGCCACACTGCGAGTGTCAACACCACCACCACCACCACCACCAGTGCCACCACCATAATCAAGCTCATCACGACCTCCACGGGGATCACCACGAGTGCGGTACAGGCGCTCGCGCTCGTCTTCACGTCGGTCTGGGTCTCTAGTGCGGGGACGGTCAAAGTCACGGTCCCGGCTACGGTAACGGTCTCCACGCTCATCGCGACGGTCACGAGATGGGGAAATACCGCTGACCTTGCGGTAGGTCCGTTCGCGGTCGGCCTGTGCCTTGCGACGGTCTGCTTCGTATGCATCCATTTCCGGGGTGCGGGCCTGGCCGCTGGGTCCTCGTCGTTCTCCTCGCCCACTGCGGTATTCACGATCACCACGGTCGTAATCCCGCCGAGCCCCACGGCTTTGAGAGTGTGCTTCGCGATCCCTCTCTGCATCCTCGTCTCGTTCTTTCAAGCGGCGAATTGCTTTTTCAAATGCAGACTCCCGAAGCTCATCGGACTCGAGGGCCTTGTATTCGTCATATTTCTCAAGGCGAGGTTGAACTTCAGCCCAGGTGTCGGTGACCCGGACAGGTGGCTCTAGGTGCTTGATACGAGAACGCAGTGCGTCCACGGCACGGCGCTGTTGACGATCGGCGGCATGCTTCTCATCCTCCGTGCGTCGGATTGCCTTTTCTTGGATACGCTGGAAAATGAGGTTGAGAATCTCAGGGTCGATCTTGGAGGTACGGCGGTCGGCGGACATGATAGAATTGAATTCATCAAATGTCGTTTCAGTCGTAACTTCATATCGTTTGTCCTGGAATTGGTTCGTTAGTATAGATAGTCAATATTCGATTCAATCCGAGAGAACTCACATCCAGAACATCGAGCACGTCGTTCCGAGGTCCACGCAAAGCCCGCTCTTCTTCTTCCACCATATCCCAGAACAAATCGAGAGGGGTCGAACCAGGCTGGCCCAGGATGCCATGGTATCTGGGGTCATCCTTAATGATCGGGCAGATATTCATCCACTTGGCGCCCGCCTTGATCTTACCTTGGGATCGGAGCTCCTTAAGGAGGGCCACAAACTGCTCTCGGTTCTTACGCTCTTTTCTGGCTCTTGCTGCCTTGTGTTGCTGGCGAGCATCGTTGAAAGCCCGCTCCAGGGACTTGATATGATTTTCGAAGGCAGTCAGAATGTCAGACTTGCTCAGACTTTTGAACTTATCATCGCCCTGGAACTTGGTGTCAGACTGAATGATAGCATGAGCCTCAGACCAACGCGTGTATGGCTCCAGGTTGAGTGAGCCCAGAATGTTCATCAGCTCATCCATAGCGGCCTTGTGCGTGAGAGATTCTTGCTCGACGTGAGCCTTCTTGAGTTCAAGGATGTACTCTTCGAAAAGCTGGCGTCTCTCATCTTCCTCGTTGGTAGACCTGAATGTGGTCTCCCCCTCAATGATCGGACGAATCGTCTTCCAGCGACTGTAGTATTTGATTTCAGGGTGTCGCTTCAGCATAGTGTTGAAATCTGCGCGAAGCTTGGCAAATCGTTCTTTCGCCCGGTCCTTTTCCTGCATGCGAACCTCGACCACGTATTTCTCGAATGCTGCCTTGCGGTCTCGCGGGTCCTTAAGAGCCCGGTATTGCGGGTCCTTGATCGTAGCGCGCATTGTTTCTTCCCAAGTCCAATCGGGCTGCACGTTGTGGCGTTTGAGCAGCTTCATGAAGGCGCTCTCCGCCTCCTCAAGAGAATGATAGTCGGGATCCGTCTGGGACTTGTATTCCGGAGCAGCAACCATGCCGTTCGTTTCATATGACCCGTATCCACCGCGACGGTCGCCGTATCCCCGGTCACCGCGGTCACCTCGATCACCTCGGTCAAAGTCTTCACGGTCACGTTGCTGGGGTTGCGAGAAAGACGTCCCGCCGGCCACAAAGGAAGGGGCACTATAATGGAATTAGCATTGAGGGAGGTTAATTTGGGAAGGCACTTACGCGGGAGGTGCCTGGGGGGCGGGCGCCTGTGCAAGCGCATCTTTGTAAACTTCAGGCATTTCCCATGTGCTCTGCTTGCTTTCTGTGTGGTACCAGTACTTGCGCCCAGCATCTGTCGTGTGTTCCTTCCATGGTTGCTTTGAAAGAGCAAGCTGTAAAGAAGTCAGTGAAGCTCATAACATTTTCCGGTCAAATACAAACCTCAACCGGAGTCATCAACTCTTGAGGCTTGGTCCATTGTGTGGCTTTGGTCTGGAGATTGTAATAATAAACGCGCCCTTCAGCATTTTGCGCCTGCTGCCATAGGGCAGAGCCTGGGTTGCTGCTTGGATCCATTGTGAAGGGTGTTGAAGAGACTAAGAGTGAAAACGGAGCTTCTCCAATGATCTCCGCGGTTATGCGCTTTTGGCACCTCGCGTCGACCGTACCAACACTTATCGGTTATCTCCTGAGCTCCAAACAATCACTTTATTGACTCCTTTGCGACATCTGTTGTCGCAATGCCTGGCCTAGAGATCCCGGGTGAATTCTTGCGTCATGCCATTCTTGATACAGTTGTGCCTCATGCTCCAGCACTCAACATTGAGGGCGCCCTGAGTTCGGCCCTAGAGGACGGAGCTGATGATCTCCCCTCTGTTCTCTCGTCAATCCCTCAACGGTCTCTATTGTTCTTTGGTATGCTCTTTCAAAGGCTGGCCAGGGTTTGCGTCTTACTCATTAATAGCTATTAGATGAATTTTTGCCTGTCCGTATCGTCTTGAGACTGTCTGATTGCTCAGAAACGATCCTGAAACACTACCTGCCCCGACTTGAAGTCAAACTCGATGTATTCGCCGTCGATCCAGCTGAATCAGTTGGTGAAAATCTCACGCCAACTCGAGATATAATATTCTCGGGAATTGTCGGTGGAGATGAGGATCCCCTGGTAGTCTTCAATGAATTCGAGGGCGATGAAGGCAGTGGGAACCATGTCTATTTGGTTTGGAATATTGAAACTATACTGCGTGAGTTATTTGAACTTTTGGGTTGGATATCATGACCTGAACGTCACTAATTGGTTGATAGGACGTCCCCGTATTCGAATCCAACACCCGTCACTCTTATTCATTGCCTCTGCTAGTCTGAATCCGGCTGACGCTCGCCGTCAAGAGGATTCGGAGGATGACTATCTCCCCTCACTCGTCCCCGCATCCACCAATATGCTGCAATCTTTATCCACCGGTAAATCTTTCAATCATAAAGAGCCTTTCCTCCCTGCTTCCAGACTATTGAGGGTTGTACCGACGACGTATAACGAGGACCCGATTTACAATATCCAACAACAACATGGTCATCCCTTTCGTGTTGTGCCCGCCGCAAGTGCAAGGATTCGGTACTCTCGGCTGAGCTCCTACACTGGTATACCAATGACCGTGGCCAGTCTTGACTTTGAGGTCACGCCTTATCTAGCTTGCGAGGTCTCCTTTGACAAAGCGAATCTTCACCTGTCTGAAGGAACGATTGAGTCGCTGTCAGACACACCGGGCCTGACTCTACCTATTACTTGCCGTCCGCGAGACGATGTGACCCTCATGTATAAACTCACACCGGAGTATGGCCCAGAGACTAATCCATCATCTACTGCGTTGGTCAGCACGCTGGACATATCTCTCGAGGCAATAATTCTTGTGGATGACGACTGCAAGCCACGCATTTCTATGCAGTGGAGAACCAACGTCGATTTCTCAGTCGCCCTAAATCCGACTTTTGGGGGGCCCAGTCCAGCGCTGCAAAGGACCAACCGCCCTACCAGTTTATCGGTGTCAACTCAAGTGGGTGTGACCCCTTCCCATCGAAGCTCATTACGAGAACGAGCATATTCGGTCACCGATGTGGGTATCACGATCTCCTTCTCCGGACCTGTTCATGTGCAAGTGGGTTCTGTCTTCTCTTGGGATGTTTTTATTGTCAATCGATCAAACATTCCTCGCAAGTTTGCATTGATTGCCATCCCCAAGCGGAAACGCGTGGATCCACGAGGGCATGTTGCCCGGCCTTCATCGTCATCTATCACCAGCCGGAAAGAGGACCAAGTGGCCGAAGCGGTGACTGACGATAATATCGTGCATGCGAGGCAAAAGAGTGTGGCTGGTCAGGAAGTGGAACTGATCAGCTTGAGCACAGATATTCGCGTGGGGTGAGCATTCTCTACTCTGTTTCTTTACCCTTACTTCTCTAATCTGACGTTTTTATTAGCCCTCTCCTTCCAGGAACTTGCCACTCGACCGAACTCAAACTCCTTCCTCTGGCCACAGGCCCACTTCATTTGGAGGCAGTCCGGCTTGTAGATGTGAACACGAACGAAACGACTGATATCCGAGATCTTCCGGACATTTTGGCGGATGATCAGCCTCGCTCTACTTAAGAGCAGCCCCACACTGTACATATATATGACATGAAGCTATAGCTACTTTCAAAGTGGCCTGTCCTTAACATATTATTTTCCTATGACCTATTATGGTGTGTTTTTAAGATAATCTTTTTTAAACACGCATTTGGAGAAGTATTCTCTGACTTTCTCAATAGGTCTCAAGAACCTGATATTTTTGGATTGGGACATCGCGGCCCTTCCAGCTGCCCTCCCCAAGACCAAAGTCGACACACTCCTGTTCCTTCTCGACGGACCACCAAGGTCGTAGCAAGCCTTGGCCTTCAGCCTCCTTGAGAAATCGAACGATCAGCATTCTTGCCGCGTAATATTTGTTTTTCTGAACAGTGTCTAATCGGTTCTGAGCGGCCAAGATCTGGTCATCCCAGGATCTGACATAGATTGTGTCGATGAGAAGCTTGAACACATCTGTTTTTGTCCGGCCGTGTAGCCACCTGTGTGCGGCAAGCCGAGTGAATGGAGTGGTAATCCCGACTCCGAGCCCAGATTGGACATTCAATACGTTGTAATCCGGAGGCGAAGATCGGCTCATTGCTGCGGGAGTAGTCTCGCTATGTGTTGTAGCACCGGTCGATGATATAGATTCGCGGGTTCTGAGACAGCTCGTTTTGTGTTCTTTCCAGTCTTCTTCTGGCAGTCTCTCGAACAGTACGAAGCTGTTTTGCAGCGACCACAGCGCTGCAGAATATTCTTTGAGGACTCGGGTTTGGCGCATTTTCGGCACGTCAGACGTGTTTTGGTCATGGGAGTAGGGTTTGGGTCTGCCATCATTGGCTTTCACGGGTGGAAGTGGATTGGCAAGTTCAAGGGAGTCAAACCTTTGGAAGGAGCTGCGAGATGATATCAGTTTTAGACAACTTAAGAGGCAATGGTAGGGCTCGTAGCGAGCGGGACTTGCAAATCTTGATGTTATCCAGGCTCTAGATGACCAAGAGCCGGGTTGATATGTATGATTCTCTTGGCCAGGAGAGGGAGATTCGGGGTTACAGTAACCACAGCAAGGGAAGGAACCACTGTAGGAGTCTCGCCAGCGAATTGTTTACCGCATTCTCGGCAAGTTGGAAAGCATGGATGGTTTGATTTCTCGAAATTCCCGCAGTCACGGCAGTACGTTCTCTGCTCCTTGGTCACGTCCTTGATCAAACCTTTCATGCTACATGCATTCAGTAGAAACAACCCTTACAACCCAATGGGTTCGTCGACTTCCCCAATACCTCCATCCGCCTCACGTACTTCAGCATGCTGAAGTGAGCCATCTTCCAAACTTCGATGGCCTTTACGTATTTTCATCCTCCTAGAAATCTTCCGCAATGCTCACTTCATCGAATTGCTTCTATTAAGTTGCAAGGCACCTACTAATATTAGTGTACTAATCATCTTTTCCCCTCATAATAACTTACCACTTTATCTTCGCTCGTGTTATATATATTGAAATGGTACAGGTTGGAAATATACTGCATGTAACTTAACACACACCGCTTAATATAAACCCGGAGGAGACACCACTCGTCTAGAAGAAGAGATATAAATAGGGGACTACATGTATAGTCCTCTGAGAAGTGAAGTGAAATGAAAATGAGAGAAATCTGAAAGAAAAGAGATATTTCAGATACTCGGGTAGTATATCTATAGGAGAAGTAGTAACTGTTGAACGATAGGGAATGTGGTGAACTAATACTAGAAACCGACAAAGTGCAGATTGATAGGCAAAATCCCTGGCTACATATATATGCATGGAAAAGTCCCCTGTACGCCCCTTCGTATATCGTACATATTAGGGTCTACTCCGTGTTATCATTCATTGACAATATCACAATCGCTCATGACCCGGCCGTCAGCCGACGATGCCAATGGTAGTCGCTTGATATATTTGAATAAACAGCAGCAAACAGCTATGTTGGTTTGAAGATCTTTGTATTTGTTTGACATCATGCGTAGAGATATTGCTCTCTGTATATGTGCATTGCCCACTGTATCTCATTTTCTATTCTCTCACTTTGTTCTCATTGAACTATCTTCCATTCATTTCATCAATTGATTAACCTATTTTTTAACCCTGCGCCCAACTATGTACTAGAAAGTTACCATATGTATACAACATCAGCGATCCACAACGATCGGCACTCGGAAGGAAACCGAAGAATGCCAAGACTGGTCCCTGGGCCCCCAAGGAGGTGTTAACAAAGAAAGATATTTATACAAATGGATTGAAATATGAGATGCAGTAGTTCTAGAATTCCTATCAAGTCGATGTATATGTAATTATTTGTAATTATTATGTAGATTGTAGAGTAGATATACTTATGTACGGAATAAGGCAGCAAAATATAGTTCGACGAATGTGATTGGCGGAAGGAGATCACGGGGTAATCGACTCAGCGTCGTAGTTGGCCAGGTGACTTCGTTAGTCAAGGCGGGAACCTGGAGGCTATCTTCTTTCCTTGATATCATCATCTTATCTGGGATTTTCTGAAGAACATCGGGAATTGGGTTTGATATCCAGCTTCTTAGATTTGCTTCTCAACTGCCCCGGTGTCCCTGGACTTTGCGTCATACTGGCGCACCTCGTCCCTTCCCAGAAGTCTTGCTCATCGCTCTCCTCCAGTTGCCAGAATCCTTGAGACATGATCTGCTCTGCGAAGCGGAAAGTCCTGGACGGACTTAATAAGAGATACATCTACGGTCGCGTGGTATGTTGATGCCCCTTACTGACGCCTGGCATGTTGTCACCCAATTTGTTTACAGCGGCTAACCCAGTGGTCATTATCTGGTAGCCTTTATTGCACACGATCATTTTCCTCGTCGAGATGGCAGTGGCAGCACGTCTTGCCGCGAAATTTAATACCTACTATGCTGAAAAGCCAGGTAAGCCTCTTGCCGCCGGTTCCCGCGGGATCCCAGACTGACATCACTGCTATAAATAGTGCTCACGACGATGGTCACCAACGCTGTAAGCTTGCCGCGATATTGACCACCAAAGTACGAACCGACAGTTGACAAAATGGATGTTATAGGTGCTTGGTGGTGTTGCCGATACCGTTGCGCAGCTGATTACAGCCTTCCGGACCCGCCGACCTCCGACAAGCGGCGATGATTTCCTTTCGATAGAGATCCCCGACTTTGATAAGCAGAAACCCCCTGCTGTAGGGGAACTGGGATATGTCCGGACCTCGTCGCCACCTTTCGATTTTGAGCGTCTGACGAGATTTATGGCTTATGGCTTCTTCATGGCGCCGGTGCAGTTCCAGTGGTTCGGTTTCTTGTCCAGAGCATTCCCGCTCACCAAGAGGAACCCGACGGCTCCAGCTTTCAAGCGTGTCGCGTTTGACCAGTTCATTTTTGCGCCATTTGGTATGACCTGCCTCTAGCTACTTTGGGATGTTTTGGGCTGGACTGATTTTATCTAGGTCTGGCGTGCTTTTTCACCTACATGACGATCGCCGAGGGTGGTGGTAGAAGGGCATTGACAAACAAGTTCCGTGACGTCTACCTGCCGACCCTAAAGGCCAACTTTGTGCTCTGGCCGGCAGTGCAGATCCTAAACTTCCGAGTCATTCCTATTCAGTTCCAGATTGTGAGTCTCCCAGGTTCTCCTTGTTGAGATGGGACCCATGCTGACCTCCTAACCCAGCCATTCGTCTCAACTATTGGTATTGCGTGGACCGCATACCTTTCTCTGACTAACTCCTCCGACGAGTCCTAATTCAATGCTATCCAACGCGAACATAATGATAACGATTCGGGCTATAAAGTCTATAAATTGCACTCTTTCTTTGCCAAATTATTCAGGCGTTCCGGTTGATCAGGCTAGCTTTCATGTACATGGTTATGGTATTTGCCCACGGACAGGTTTTGCATTTCAAAAGGTCTGATTTTGCACATTTGGGAATAACAACTGGGGGTTTTGCTCTTGACTATTTTTGTGATTTGACTTGGATGCTTTAAGAAAATTCCGCTTTTCAACCCCCTTTGAGCTTCACATGATTTCGTTGGACTCGGAAAACATCCAAGCATGTAGCGGTTATGGACAACTTCCCTCAGTAGAGGCAATCTCCCCAGAATTTCCCGATTCCGAGGCTAAAGGGGACCTTTATGCCCCGGCCTTCCCCGTATCAACGCGGGCAGCTCTGACATCAGTCCCGCGTCAGCCCGATCAGTTCTCCGGGGATAGTCGGGTACGGGCAGACAAGGTACCCATTTTATATAGATACCTAGGAAACACGGATTTCATAATACTACAAGGAAGTACCTTATTCGGTGGAATACTTCATCGGTATGTACCAAGGTTGCTACGGGTGCGACCTCTTCACCGGCCTGCCCCACCAAAACCGACCCCTCCACTCTTTACTGATCGCGACTCACCGTGGCCTGATTAGTTCTTTCTCCTTCTTCTCTCCCTTTTCTCGCTTCTTTTACCATTGTCATACTATTAGCCACCTACAATGTCTCTCTCCAACAAGCTCCCCGTTACTGATGTCGACCTCAAGGGCAAGCGTGTCTTGATCCGGGTAAGCTCCCAGCCAATTGAGCTTCATTACTCGCAGCCTCTAACTGCCGACTGAAACAGGTTGACTTCAATGTCCCCCTCGATGAGAACAAGAACGTTACCAACCCCCAGCGTATCGTCGGTGCCCTGCCCACCATCAAGTATGCCATCGACAACGGTGCTAAGGCCGTTGTGCTCATGTCCCACCTGGGCCGCCCCGATGGCAAGGTCAACCCCAAGTACAGCTTGAAGCCCGTTGTTCCCGTGCTTGAGAAGCTTCTCGGCAAGAGCGTCACTTTCACCGAGGACTGCGTTGGTCCCAAGACTGAGGAGACCGTCAACAAGGCTTCCGATGGTCAGGTCATTCTGCTTGAGAACCTGCGTTTCCACGCCGAGGAGGAGGGCAGCTCCAAGGATGCCGAGGGCAAGAAGGTTAAGGCCGACAAGGCCGATGTTGATGCGTTCCGCAAGGGCCTCACTGCCCTCGGTGACGTTTACGTCAGTATGTAACGCCCCAATCCTATTCCAATTTTCTGTCGTTCTTTCATTTCTAACATCAATTCAGACGATGCTTTCGGTACCGCACACCGCGCTCACAGCTCCATGGTCGGCGTGGACCTCCCCCAGAAGGCCGCCGGTTTCCTCGTGAAGAAGGAGCTGGAGTACTTCGCCAAGGCTCTTGAGAGCCCTGCGCGCCCCTTCCTCGCCATCCTCGGCGGTGCCAAGGTGTCTGACAAGATCCAGCTGATCGACAACCTCCTGCCCAAGGTTAACAGCCTCATCATCACCGGTGGCATGGCCTTCACCTTCAAGAAGACTCTTGAGAACGTTAAGATCGGAAACAGTCTCTTCGACGAGGCCGGCAGCAAGATTGTCGGCGAGATCGTCGAGAAGGCCAAGAAGTACAACGTCGAGATCGTCCTCCCCGTTGACTACGTCACCGCCGACAAGTTCTCCGCCGATGCCACCGTTGGTGCGGCTACCGACGCCACCGGTATTCCCGACGGCTTCATGGGTCTGGATGTCGGCCCCGAGAGTGTCAAGCTCTACCAGAAGACCATCGCCGAGGCCAAGACCATCCTCTGGAACGGTCCTCCCGGTGTCTTCGAGCTCAAGCCCTTCGCCGCGGCCACCGAGGCTACCCTCGATGCCGCTGTCAAGGCTGCCGAGTCCGGTTCCATCGTCATCATCGGTGGCGGTGATACCGCTACCGTCGCCGCCAAGTACAAGGTCGAGCACAAGATCTCCCATGTCTCGACTGGTGGCGGTGCCTCGCTCGAGCTTCTCGAAGGCAAGGAGCTGCCCGGTGTTGCTGCTCTGTCCAGTAAGTAAATGATGAAAAATAAGCGACGAGGGGGGAGTCTACATCGGCTCTCCTTTCGTCCCGCATGTTTATGAAACTGTAATGTACACAGCCAATGAATTTCCTTTAATTACATACACATTTTTTCAAAACAAAAACCTCGATTGTGCTCATAGATCAGATAACTAAGTGTTGTACCCAGGTACGAAACCGAAGCTTTAGTCGCGACATCAAGAGATCTCCCGTGGTCAATTCTCATGCATATAGATGAGAGAAAATCCCTACGGTGAATAAATAAGACAGGAACGCCACAGTGGCATGTAGATTGGATTGAACCATGCCAATCCCATTCACAGCTCCAATTGATACTTCCGTTCATCCCCCTCCTACAAAACACCACGTTAAGGCTTGCGCGGAATCAGAAGCTTTGATATTGGTGGGAATATCAAAGAGAATATCATAGTAATCCCGAAAGCAGCCTTAGATCAGCGCTCTGAGTAATGAATCGTAAAAGAAAATCAAAAGAACCGTATCTCATTTCCTGCCCAACAAGCTCCCGACAAATGCATGCGGCAATTATGGTTTCTGAATCCTCCCATTGGTTCCAAAGACAGGGGGGTATAGTGTGCGAGATGAAATGGCCAGCCAACTCGATAATGAACCCATCCCGAAACCCGACGCGGGGGTTACCTCTTTTTGGTGCGCTTGTCCAGGTTCGTCTAGGTTTAAGCCGATGCTTCGACTTTCTTCAATTCTTCCCTGGATGAGGTGATGGATGTTAGTGTGTGCGGTGAAGGAGGGGAAAGCTGACAGCTGACAGCTGTGGCGGAAAGTGGGATGGGGGTGCGAGCGTCGGTGGCGGTGTAGATGTGAACATGAAAGAGAATTGATGGCCAAGCAAGGAACGTAGCATAAAGGGTATTTGATGTGTAGGGAAGTAAGTGTAGGGAAAGTCGAACTCACTGCAGCTGCTTTGAGAAGTCCTCTGCCGCATCATCGTCATCCCAGCTCTCTTCCCACAGGTGCTCGCTGCCGTCGTTTGCTGTCGAGCCATTGGTCTGCTCGGCTTCTTCTTGGGGCCAGTCTGGAGGTCCTCGAGTTAGCTTCGTTGCTCCAGGGAAGTAGTTGAATGCTTGGTCGATACCTTCGACGGGGAAATCCTCAAACTCATCGTCTTCCTCCAGGACTTGGGGCTTGGCCTGTGGCGGGGGTTGCTCTGTGGCATCGGCCTTCTGGGTAGTTGGGTTTGACATTGTGAATGATGTGATAGACCGGGAGGATCAAAGCAGATAGGTGGAGATGTGGACGTGGATGTGGCAGCTTTGAGGACGGAGGTCGGAGGTTTGACTTAGTAAGACCGCGATAAGGCGATAACGATGATGTAGTTGGGAGACAACCTGGGAAACCAGTATAGTGTTGGGATTTAAATGATAGATACGATAAAATGTATAGTAATATTGGATAAAAGAGTAGAAGAGAGTATTATGCAACAAAATAATCCAAAATACCCCGATCGATGTGGAATTGGCCTTGTATAAAAGAGAAAAAGTTGCGCACACGCGGAGCAACCGGCGAAAAGAATCCCATGGGAATGAGCCTCAGCCTTGGAGACGTGTTTGTTATATTACTTCCTTCCCCTCCCCACTCGAGCTTTACTCCCCCTCTCCACTTCTTTGTGTTTTCCCTCTTCTCTTTGTTATTTTCTCTCATGAGTGATGTTCTCGGCCATCGTGTTTCCGCTATCGCACAGTTGACATATTGACATTCTTCCCGATCCGGCCCTCTCTCTTTTCGGCTTGATCGGATTGCCTGGACCTGAAAAGATCGTTGATTTTGTCCCCATTGAAAGATCCATTCTTCATACTCACTACTAGTGGTTTTCGCCATGTTGCGAGTCGGGTCCTGGTTGTACGGCAAGAAGCCGGCGCAGTCTGTGGACTCGCAGGCTGAGTTGAAAGATTGTGAGTGGTGTGATATACTCTATGAAAGCCCGTAGTGGTTATTTGATTGGATACTGACTGCGGTATTCTGAGTCAGTGCATGATGCGATGACAGGTATGTCCAATGGGAAATGTCTGACCTTTAGGCACCGACTAATGCCATGCCCAACTAGCGGCAACGCTCATTCTCAATGACGATGTTGATGGTGCGGAGACTGGTCTCTCCACGGGCACTTCGTCTTTTCATAATGTGGGTGATCGTCACTATAAGCTATGACGTAGCACAGACCTCAAGGAAAGATGCTGACTCTTGATCGAGTAGCTGGGTAAAGGCGTGGTCGCATTCGTTCGGGCAACATTAGGCTTCGAGCAGGAGATTATGCGACAAGGTCCATGCAACTTTTATCTTCTAAATCCACTGTTTCTGACAATCCCGCAGCATCCGAGCGCCTTTATGACGCAGAAACCAGCGCGGCCAACGACCAAACCCGGGCCCAGCAAAACGCCCAAGCACCCAATGCCTTTCACTCCGATATCTATGCTGCCGGTACCGAATATGTGTTGTGCCAAGCAATCGCCCAATTGATGAGTGCGGTTGTTGGGGTACTGAATGAAAGCCTGACGGAAAGCATCAAAGCATTCTATCGGCTGAGAAAGGCTTATATCGCACTAGACGCTATCATGAAGATGGAAGAGAAGTTTATGGAGCAGAGGGGTATACACAAAGTATTACTACCCTCTGCGAGTGACCTCTCAAGCTCGAGCGCTGCATGCCCAGACACAAAGTCGGAATCGTCCAGTCTTTTATCGAAAAAGGGCGCAAAAGTGGCTTCCGCCGAGCAAACCGAGCTCAATTCGTCAATGAATGGACTGGCGATCTCCCCCGAGCGTTGTCTCCAGATGCCCCAACGGGCACTTTCACACCTGTAAAGCATATCCACCACGACCCCGACTCGGATATCTTCAAAAACGAAATCGATGTTTTTGTGCACTCTGGTGCTAACTTCTGCTTCGGTATTCTTCTTCTACTAATCTCCATGGTCCCACCCGCATTCAGCAAGCTTCTTTCCATTATTGGCTTCCACGGCGACAAGCAACGAGGGCTGAGAATGCTCTGGCAAGCTAGCAAGTTCCACAACTTTATCGGCGCCATGGCTGCTTTGGCACTGCTAGGATATTACAACGGCTTTGTCCGCTACTGCGATATTATGCCCGACCCAACGCCTGGCGAAGCCGACGTCGAGGGATACCCACAGGAGAGGCTGGCTGCGTTGCTGGCGGAGATGCGGTCTCGGTTCCCCAACAGTCAACTTTGGCTGATCGAAGAATCGCGGATGTTAGGCGCGAATAAGGACCTGGACAGAGCTCTGGAACTGTTGTCGACGGACAAGAAGAGCCCGCTCAAGCAGGTCGAGGCGTTGTCCGTGTTCGAAAAGAGCTTGAACGCACTGTTTCTCCACAGATATCATGTCTGCGCTGAATCCTTCATCGAAGTAAGCCCTTTTGTTATGGAGATTTTTGAACCATCAAGCTAATCCCTTCAGTGCGTGGAACTTAACTCGTGGTCTCGTTCGTTATATTACTACATTGCCGGATCGTGCCATGTTGCCCTGTACCGGCAATCACTCCACGACCCAAGGCTTGCAGAGGAACATGCTAGTAAAGCCACCTTGTACATGCGGAAAGCACCTGAGTTCGCCGGGAAAAAGAAATTCATGGCCCGCCAACTGCCATTCGATATCTTTGTGACTCGGAAACTTGCCAAATGGGAGGCACGCGCGAAAGAATGGGACGTGTCTCTCGTGGATGCGATTGGAGTGGACCCCATCGAAGAAATGATTTTCTTCTGGAACGGACACAGTCGCATGACCAACGAGCAACTACAAGAGTCCCTGACCCGGCTGGAATGGTGCGAAAGCGAAAACAACAAGACATGGTCTCGCGAGGGGATCGAAGAAAAGGCGATCCTGGGGCTTCTCCGGGCTGCCATTTTCCGATCCCTGCACAGACACGACGAGGCGAAAAAGATCCTGCAGACCTGCGTTTTGAACCACGACAAATCTGTGTTCAAGGGCCACTTGAAGGATGACTGGGTCCACCCAGTGGCGCATTTCGAGATGGCTGCCAACTTCTGGATGGAGCGTCCCACGTACAAGACCCTGCATGGGATTACAGCTTCCTCCAAAGCGTCGGATGAAGCGTCCGCGGGATCTGGGGAGACGAGCACGCAGACTGAGAGAAAGCTGGTATCCGAGTGCAAGGAATACCTCGACCATGCTGCTCGCTGGGAGAGCTACGAGCTCGACGCTCGTGTTGGACTCAAGGTTACTGCGGCGATGGAAGCAGTCCACAAATGGGAAAGCATGAATCCGGCAGTCTAATGGCGATTATTATGTTTCAATCCTAGGGCACGTCTCTGTTCATAGCTGCCCTGGATGCCTTGTGTAGCATACACGCATAGAGTACAAGTAGATGTTAGGGTTAGATGTTTTACCGAAGTTCTTTTTATATCCTTTTTCCCTTTCACAACAGCAAACGATGTCATGTGATAGACCAAACAAGGATAACTGGATAACTCAACCTCAACCTCAATCTCCAATTTCCATTGTGCCTACAATTTAGTTCCCCCGATCGACAAGGTATGAAAAGTCAATGCTTAAACGTGAATTTCATTGGCTCCGGCAGACCCCGTTTCACTTATATGACAGTCGGCACTCGGCGCCATGGCCACTAAGGCCGAGCTCCCATTTCCCTATACACACCACCGGAATGATATAAGTCTCGGTGCTTTGGTGGTGATGCCGAGAGAAAGCCATTGAGCTATCCCCAAAAAGGCTCATTAACAAAGAGATTGGCGACGTGGTTGGTGGTTGACAGAATCCGCACTAAACCCCAACGTCTCGGATAACACGGCTCTTGCCACCGGAGGTCCGACAAAATCTTGAAAACGCGAATAAAACGCATTCAGATCCCCAAATATCTCTCAGCCTTACAAGTTTCAAAGATATCTCCGCTTGAGACCTCTTCCGTCATATCCACCTCTTATCTCCGAGATTCATTTTTCCCACTTCCACGGACTTTTCCACCGTAACTTAGTCTACTTCGTATCTCTCGTCTCCCATATTCCACCTTCCCCAGTGCTCGCGCTGGTCCTACGACATTTCAACCAATGAGCCGTGTGTGATAATGGTCGAACGGACAGAACATGACTATCGCACCAGCAATTCTAGCGAAGAGATCGAACCGCATCGCAGCCACGACGGGAATGAAATCGCAGGATTGGAAAAGCGAAGTACTGCGGCATCAGGTTATTCGGCCTTTGAACAGCGCACGCATTCAATAGTCTCGCGCATTCGGAGTCGAGAGCCCGGCCAGACGGCGAAATTCAATCATCCACTCACCCATACCAAGACAAGTCCCGATGTCATCGTCGATTTTGAAGGGCCGGATGATCCGTACAGACCGTTGAACTGGGGGTTCAAAAAGAAGGCTATCACGACAGTGTTGTATGGATTAACTACTATGGGTATGTATGTCCGCGGGCAATGTCGGGGAAATGGTGAATTGTGGGGAATAACGCTAATGGCCGTTATCAATTGCAGGCTCGACGTGGGCGAGTTCAATGTAAGTCCTTTTTTTGCTTCGTGGTTTATAGATTATTAAACTAACAATGTTAGTTATTCGACGGGCCAGGCAGAGATTAGCGAGGAGTTCGGCATCTCGAGCGAGGTTGCTACGCTCGGCACATCATTACTTTTGTTCGGCTTGGGATTGGGCCCGTTGATCTGGGCGCCTCTGTCTGAGCTCTATGGACGCAAAACGGCGGTTCTACCGCCATACTTTCTCGCGGCTATCTTTTCGTTCGCGACAGCCACCGCCAAAGACGTGCAGACTATTATGATCACTAGATTCTTCACGGGCTTCTTTGGCTCGGCACCTGTTACCAATACCGGCGGAGTCCTGAGTGATATATGGAGCCCCGAAGAGCGTGGAGCTGCCATTGTCGGCTATGCCATGGCCGTGGTGGGCGGACCTGTTCTTGGGCCTATCGCAGGTGGTGCCATCGTCCAGAGCAATCTAGGATGGCGCTGGACTGAATATGTGAGCCTTCCACGCTCTAAGGCTGAAGTTGAAACCATGCTAATATCTACTAGATCACCGGTATCATGATGATGTTCTTCCTGGTCATGGACCTCCTCTTCGTCGACGAGAGCTACCCACCAGTTCTGCTGGTGTACAAGGCACAACGACTCCGCTTCGAAAGCGGCAACTGGGCCCTCCATGCACGCCACGAAGAATGGGATGTTACCCTCAAAGAAATAGGAAACAAGTATCTCATCCGTCCCTTCCAACTCCTCGCAACCCCAATCTGCTTCCTCGTTGCCCTCTACGCATCATTCGTCTACGGCATCCTCTATCTCAGTCTAGCAGCCTTCCCAATCGTTTTCCAGGAACTCCGCGGCTGGAACCAAGTCGTCGGCGCCCTACCCTTCCTCGCCTACCTAGTCGGTATTCTAATGGGCGGAGGCATCAACCTCGCCAACCAGAAATTCTACATAAAGCGCTTCAAAGCGAATAACAACCGTCCGGTTCCCGAAGCTCGTCTCCCGCCCATGATGATCGGCTCTGTGCTTTTTGCTGCTGGCCTGTTCGTCTTCGGTTGGACAAGTCCAAAGGATATCCACTGGATCTGTCCGAACATCGGTGCAGTCATGATGGGCTTCGGCTTTTTCACCATCTTCCAGGCTGCTCTCAACTACCTCATTGATACATTCCAAAAATACTCCGCCAGCGCGATCGCTGCGAATACTTTCCTGCGCTCGATGTTCGCGGGCTGTTTCCCGCTCTTCACAAGTGCCATGTTTCATAATCTTGGTGTTCCTTGGGCTGCTAGTGTACTGGGCTTCATTTCCGTTGCTCTCATCCCCATTCCATATCTGTTCTACAGGTACGGGAAGCGGATCCGAGCGCGCGGGACGTGGTCGCGAGACTCTGTTTAAAATTCTGCTAAATAATTGTTTTGTGGTTTTATTGTATATGTTTTTCTATTAGCTGGGTTACACGCATACTTGATCGCAACCTGGTTTGTGGTGTGGCACGCCCATCCCTTGCATTTGATACCCCCCGAGTTTGAGCCATCTCAGATTGACTGCTGTTATTTCCTACGAGCCTATTTATTATATCAGGCGTGGTCTAATAGAAGTTTTACTTCACTACGTTTCTACAGTGTGGAGAATATTCAATAGACAAGTTTCCGCGTATTAGAGTATAACAAAGAAGCAGCAAGCACAAAAAAAAGCAGAATAAACAGGAAGAAAGATATAACGAGAGAATATAGTGAGTAAAGACGATTGAATGCCATATGTACTCAATCCAGAAGCCAAAAAGCCAAATCCATAAAATATAATGAAGACACCCAGAATACAAACGTGCATCATAAAACATAGAGACATATAACAAAGGAAAGCGACTCTTTTGGTGTTTTTCTTTTTTTTTTAAAAAATCAACACCTGTTTTGCTTTTTTGCTTTTTTTGCTTTTCTTTATTTTTCTTCGCGGATTCAACTCGATCGTCATAATATCAAGCTCGAGTGGTGACTGTGTTTCGCCCAGTCAACTTTCGCGCTATAGTCATAGCCTTCGACCATGTCTTCTTCTTTTCGATGCGGGCGACAGGATCAGGCAATGCAGCACCGGTAGCTAGAAGCTCTGTCGGAATATCGTCCTGGTGCTTGGCGTTATGCAGAGCCAGCACGGCCATTTGGCCCAGGAAAGACGGGTGTTCAATAAGATCCTCAAGACGGACCTTGAGACCCTCTTGCTCAAGAAGCCAGGTAAGCTGGGCTAGGTTGAAGACATCACCACCGAGATCAAAGAAGGACGAGTCCAACTGGAAATGGGATTGGTGGGTTGGCTTGTCAGCTTCTGGGTCGACGGGGGCCGCTGTGGTGCGGCTGGGCAGGACCTGGTGCCACGAGCGAGACAGAATGTCCGAATGCACAAGCAGCTCTGCGATGGAGCGAGACTTGAGGTGTGCGCTGAGGAAGTGCTCGTCCGAGCGTCGGGGCAGGTCGTCGATTGTCTGGGGCGGCAGAGAGCGCAGCATGCTCGCGGAGGGCAGTGAGTTGGTTGGGTTGGCAACGAGGGATTGCGCAATATCACAGGCCATGTCGAGAACCTTGGAGGCGAATGATGGCATCACAGGTCCCTTCTCGGAGTAGCCGAGAGTCACATCGAGGCCACGTTCACCGGAGGGGCGTGACACCAAGGTTAGATCAGCTAGGTTGTCATTGACGCCGACACCACCCATACGGTACTTGTTGTTGTCGAGCTCCAAGTTTCCCTCGTAATCGACGTTCTGGTGGAAGACCGAGGTGGTGAAGTAGGTCCAGTCAGGCCAGTCGGTACACTGCTTGATGATCTCGCGGAAGCCGAGAGACTCGAAAGGCATGTTGGAGACCTGCTGATCTTGGAGGTAGCGGAAGAGATCAACACCTGTCCATTTCTCGTCGAACTTCACGCGCACCGGGATGACATTGACACAGGGCCCAACAGTGCTCTCAATACCGGGCACTGTGGCGTTGCGACCGCTGATGGTCAGACCAAAGACAACATCGGACTGAGCAGACAGCTTGGCAAGGGCCAGGGCCCAGGCAGCCTGCATGACAGTTGCGATAGTCACATTTCCAAGGGCAGTGGGGGAGATCTCGATCTTCCTGTGAATCTCGGTGAATGCTCCAACATTCTGGAACATGCTAGTACCGTTTCTGCGGACGACTTGTGTCATGCGAGAGCCCCTGAGGAGATCGGACCAGTGGCGGTAATGGTCTGGGGTGATTGTTCCTGGCAGCTGTCGCAAGTAGCCAGCAAAGGGAGTAACCGGAGGCAGCGGGGTGCCTTCATATCCATGCTTAATGGCAGACATGATCTTCGGTAAGCACACTCCGTCGTATTGGGTGTGAGAAAGGCGGACCAAGATACGGTGCTGGTCGCTGCCCTTCTTCTTGACAACGTAGAACTGCACGTACTGCTCGCCCTCGCGCGGTCCGTATTCGCGATCTCTCTGTTGGAGGGTCATGGTAAATTCGTCAAGAGCGCGGTCGGTCTCATAAACAAAGATGCTGGGGCGGATTTTGCGCAGCACGACCTGGAAGAACTGGTCGTGGAAGCACACAAAGACTGTGCGCAGAATATCAAAGGCAGCAACAACCTTCAAGCAACTCTCACGAAGGCGTCTCAAGTCCAGGGGACCATTGCCCTCAAGATAGAAGTAATTAAGCATCCATCGGGACTTGAAGAGAGTTGCCGTCAGAGACATCGCCTGGAAATCGGTGACAGGGAGAACATCGGCGATGCCACCCTTGAAGACACCAATCTTAGGACAGATACCACTCTGCACCGCGGCATCGTCGACGCACGATGGCCTGAGAACCTCGAGGCTCTCGGTAGAGGGGCTTGGCCCCAATGTCGTTGGCGTAATATTGAGCAAATCACTATCAGCCTCCTTGTGGCCGCCAGACTTGAGATCGATATTCAGCATCTGCTGAGTAACATTCGCGGCTCGCACTGTTGTCAGCATGTCCTCGAAGACAGGATTGTTGAAGACATCCGCAACAGTAAGGACCAGGCCCTCTTCGCGAGCGGCACTGACCATCTTCATGGCGGTGATGCTGTCACCGCCCAACTTGAAGAAGCTGTCCTGGTGTCTCACCACGTTGGGTGAGAGGCCAAGAGCTGTGCTCCAAAGATTCCACAATTTCCGTTCCACATCGGCCGACATCCCATCCTCACTAGAACGGGAAGTTGCCGAACAAACACCCGAATCATCTGCTTCTTGTATACCTAACTGGTACGGTGAGTCAGGTATGGTATCAGTGTGACCGCCATAGCTTGACAACCCTTCCGTACGAATGGGCGGCACCGTCAGTTTTCCTTCTCTCAACATCCGACCAATAATCTCATGAACACGATCATCAATGATTTTCTGAATAGCACTGCTATCAATCGCGTCTCCGGTCGACTTTGCCTTGTCAGCCAGTGTGGTTTGGGAGCGATCCCAATCCAGTGACTCGGGTTCAGCCTCGGAGGCGAATGTAGACTGCGCCAGAGTGGCAGCCGGGGATTCGATAAAGCCAGTAAACACTTTGGCGATGGTGTCAGCCAGAGTCTGTGCCTCATCATCAGACACAATATCGTTCCAGTATCTCAAAAGAATACCCTCCTGGCCTCGGGCAATCTCAACGTTCACAGTGACCGCATACTGAATTCGGTTAGTAGTTGGAAGAAAATCTTTGACAGGACTGAAACTCACCTCGCTTGGATCATGTGCGTGCTGAAGATTGAAGGACAATCCCTTGTCCTTGGGACCACCCGCAACAGAGTGGTTCTGAATTGACAAGGTAGTATTGAAGAGCGACTGCCCCTGCCAACCAAGCTCGTGCTGGATGCTGGCCAGAGAGCAGCTTTGGTGGGGAATGCATCGAATATAATCATCTTGAACATTCTTGGACACATCCGTCAGAGTCTGCCGGTCGGAGAACTGGACTCGACAGCAAAGCATGTTAATAAAGATTCCAACCATGTCCTGAATGCCATTGACAGGCGCATCGCGACCGGCCGAAATATAACCGAAACACACGTCATCGGAGCCAGTGACCTGCCGGAGGACGATGGCCCAGGCGGACAGGGTCAGGTTGGCGAGAGTCACAGAGCTGCGCTCGCAAAACTTAAGCAGCTCAGGGAATCGTTGGAAGTTCATCATGACACCCTTGAGTTCTCTCTTGGCTTCGAAAACAGCCGATGGAGCGAGGTGACAAGGGTGAACTCCACCGAGGTATTGCTTCCAGTGACTGAGGGCGTCACTTTGGCTCTGGGTTCTGATGAACTTGATGTAGTCGCTGAAGCGAGGTCCTGAGCCCTCGGTAATCTTTCGCTCGTAGGCGAGAGTCAGGTCACGGAGGAGTACATCGACCGAGCCACCATCGATAATGGCATGGTTAATCTCCAGCTTGAGGATAACACGTCCGGAAGTTGTTTTGCAGACAGTCAATTGGTGAGAAAGCTTCGATTGGCGCATCCCGTTCCTGTCGCGAAGAGAAATTGCAGCCAACTTCTCCTCAACCTTTGAGTCATGGCATTCCACGCGGAGGATATTGTCGGAAAGGTTCTTGAGCACCAATTGATCGAAGGATCCACCAGTGTAGTTGCTGTCGACGAAAATAGTTCGGAGCACAGGATGACGGTCGACGATGGCTTGCCAAGCGCGAGCAACTCCTTCAGCATCGACCTTGCCAGATTTGCCATCCTTGATCTCAAACACAGTATGGAACATGTAGGCATTGGGATCGCGGAGCTGGCTGAGCAAGAGGCCCTCCTGCATGGGAGAGCAGGGATAGATGTCCTCAACGTCATCCTTGTTCCGAATGCCAGCCTTGCGGAAGGTGCTAGCGGTGAGCATCTGGAGGCCGTGATAGTTGATTGGGAGGAGGGGATAGTCACTGAGAGTGGGCTCGGGGGTAGCCGTTTTCAGTGTGAGGATATCCTTCTCGAGGGTCTGCTTGCACTGGAGGATCCAGCGCCGGATTGAGCCCTCATGCTGCATTTTGTTGTTGTAGGTGAAAGCAACATTGAGGCGATCTTTGATCACGATGGCAGATACTTCGAAGAGGGCGAAACGAGCAGTCTGCGAGCCCATGTCACCTGCGACAGCAAAGTCCGAGCTGTCGAAAACGCTACCGTGGTGATGGAACAACGAATCAGCTCGCTCAAGTTGCTGCATTTTACCTAAGTAGTTGAAAAGGATTTCCAACGGGACAGGGAGATCGGCAGCCTTGTCCTGGAGTAGGCTTTTGGCGAAGTAGGGACGTCCATTATCTGCGATCTTGCGCCGGGTATCCTTGACACGCTTGATAATGTCGTTGAGAGCATCTGGTCTTGTCAGCTTTCTATCGACAAGATGAGGTATTGTAAACTTACGAGCTTCCGAATCCACTTGCAAAGGCGCCATAGTGGTAAACCAGCCAACGGTTCTGGAAAGATCAATGTCGGCTTCCCACGGTTCTCTGCCGTGTCCTTCGTTGTAAATAGTCGGCACCTTGCGATCGGTGAATGTGCGAGCGAAGGAGTGAATGATGGCAGACAGCAAGATGTCAACAGTGTCAGTCCGGAAGATGCTGTGGCAGCCGTCCAGGATGAAGTTGGTAGTATCCTCGCTCAACGTGAAGGATTCCATCTTGATATCTCCATAAACATTGGGTGAGCCTTGCATGCCCCAGTAAAGCAAATTCGGCTTCTCGGGGGTAAATGGCAGAGCAATAGTCGCATCGTGTGTCTTGGCTCTCTCGGTCTGCATGGCACACCAGCTTTGGAAGGACAGTGCCTTTTCGAGTGAAAGAGATCCAGAGACAACGAGCTCTTCGAGGTCCTGGAGGACGATGCGCCATGATACCATGTCAATACAGAGATGGTGAGCAACGAGGAATAAGACCTGACCACCGGTGCGAAGGTTAAACAAGTCGGCTGCCAGAATCGGTCCATTGAGAGGATCCAGGCAAGTTTGACTGTCAGCAATCTTCGGAACCATCGCCCGGGTATCGCCCACAGAGTGAACGCGGAATCGGAAAGATTCGTCGACCTCCTGTGAGGTTGAGTTAGAACGTGTTAGATTAGGGGTTTGTAGTGAGCTTACCGCTGCGGTTTTCTGTTGCCAAGTACCGTCTGTAGATGTGCTGAAGCGTGCGCGGAACATGGCATGTTGGCTGATAACAGCCTTAAGAGCGCGCTTGAGGACCTCGCCCTCACAACGGCGAGCGATGCGAACAGTGATGCTCTGGTTGAATCGAGCGGCGCCCTTGAAAGAGTCTGAACTCTGGAAGTAAAGTCTCTGGACAGGCGAAAGCGCAAAGCCTTCACCAGACTTCTCTTCGCGCCGAGAGACAGGTGCCTTAGAACTGGCGGTTTGGGCAAGTTCCTTCACTGATCTGCTCTGCAAGATGTCGTGTAGTGTTAGAACGAGCCCCTGCTTGCGAGCGCGAGAAATGACAGCCATTCCAGTAATGCTGTCGCCGCCTGTGAGAAACAGTTAGTATGTTCACTATTTCGAGATAATGGGGTACTTACCCAAGCTGACAAAAGAGCGGTCGACATTGACCTTCTGTAAGGAGATATTCAACACCTGGGCAAAGATTTCGCGGACGATGCTGAGCGATCCATTCTTCTCTTCCTTTTCTTGCGGCTTCTCTTCGGTCTTGCCACGCTTGATGCGATCGTAATCGGCCATGATACGGTCGTACGATACATCATCAATATCCTCAACCCAAGAGGTGATCTTCTTCCGGTCGAGCTTTCCAGAAACAAGCATGGGAAGCTTTTTGACGAGAGCCCAAGTCTGAGGGACCATGTATATGGGCAACTGGTTCTCAAGATTCTTCTGGACTTCAACCAGCTCGTTGTAAGCATGACGCTCAAGCTCATCCTCATCAACAAGCTCGCAAGGCCTGTCGGAAATTAGCTTGGTATCGGCTGCGACACTGTTCAAAGACATGACAGTGACCAGGCGCTGCTTAAGCGGGCCGTTCTTAGGGAGAACGACGACAGCATGGCGGGTAAGAGTATCTTCAGAAAGGCGATGCTCGATCTCACCAAGCTCCATCCGCTGACCATGCAACTTGACCTGGTGATCCTTCCGGCTGATGTACTGAATAGAACCGTCTGGGTTGTAGTAGCAAAGATCACCAGTCTTGTAGATTCGGCGAGGACCTCGGACCGCGGCCGTGAAGTCCTTGATCCAGGCCGGGTCCGTGGTGAATGCTTCTGCGTTCTTCTCGGGATTTTTGAGATACTCCCTGGCCAAAGGAGCGCCTTCAAGTGCGAGTTCACCGACTGCGCCCAGGGGAGTCAGTCGATCGTGGTTGTCGGGGTCCACAATCCAGGTGAGAGTGCTGGGAATACCGTAACCGATACGCCCAGGATCACGATTGGTGGCAACTGCATTATCAACGACAGCAAACACACAGGTCTCTGTCGGTCCGTACCCGTTCATGAGGTGAACGGAATTGGCCCACTTAGTGATGACTTCATTAGACATCTTCTCACCACCGCAAACGAGGTGCTTGAGGGAAGGCACCGAGGACGGTTCAATGATGCTTGCAATCGAGGGGGTGAGGAAAGTCCAAGTGACATTGAGTCGACGGATTGCGCCGGCGACATCGTTGAGGCGGTCGTCCTCGCTGGGCACACAGATGGTACCTCCGAGCATCAGAATTGCTAGAGTCTCCATAACAGCAGCATCGAAAGTGAGGGAGGCGAATTGGAATACTCTCGAGGTGTCATCCATGCGTACCCACGGGGCGAATGCCATGATACTGCTGACCACGTTGCGGTGCTCGACGATAATTCCCTTGGCCCGACCTGTGCTACCAGAGGTGAATAAAGCGTAAGCCATATTGGAGGGCTTGACTTCAGTTCCGCGACTGGCAAATGACTTGAGGGCGCCATAGGCCTTGATGGTCTCCTTGCTGATGGGGATAACAGTCTTCACAACTCGGCTGTAGCGGTTTGTGTAGTTGGGTGTGCACAATATTATGTTGGCACCGACGTCGGCGAGAATTTCCTCGTGTCGCGAGGTAGGGTGGGAAGGATCCAAAGGCACGTACCCACCGCCAGCGATGAGAATACTAATAAGGGTGACCATTGCCCAAACCGATTTGTCCAGGCAGACTGGAACAAACACTTCTGGACCAACCCCGCGAGAGACAAGGTAGTTGGCGAAGCCGGATGCCAGGTTCCAGAATTCTTTGTAGGTGAGGTCCCCATCCCAGGCACACACGGCCTGTGCATTCGGAGTCTCTTCGGACTTCTCACGAATGAAATCTTGAACGGTGCGTTCCACTGTGAGTGGGGTGCGTTCGTTCCATGTACCAATTTCAGCCTTGTCCTCGGGGCTGATGACCTCCAAGTCTCCGACCTTGCTAGTACTATTCTTGGGCAAGGCAATCAATTGCTGCAGAACATGCGCAAATTGTTCAGTAATGCGCTTGGTCTGCCATCCGTTGATGACGAGCTCATCGTGGTGAACAGTGAATGAGATGCTCGTCTTGGTGACGGCACATTCCACGACAAGGGGGTGAGTGAAGAAGTCCTCGCTTGTTTCACGTTTCTGGTCGATCCAGATCTTGTTGTCGAGCTCGCCATCGCCTGACTGGATCACAAGCAGGTTCTTGAAATCGCAACCCGTGGCGGTATCCTTGTTCAGCTGCCGGATACGCTGAAGACCAGAGTGCAAGTGTGGAATCATTTCGGTGGTCGACTGGTGGATCTTCTGCAGGTACTGCATAGTCAACATGGCATTGTCAACCTGGACACGGGTAGGGACGGTAGTCAGGACAGGACCGGCAATATCTGCAACACCGGGAAGGTCGATATTTCTGCCCGACAAAGTCTCGCCGAAGCACACATCACCAGATGCAGTGTGGGTCGCAACGACGATTGCCCATGCAGCTCGCATGAGGACAGGGATCGTAAAGTCGACGGTGTTGCGGGTGCGGGAAAACTTAATGCTGTGGTGCTGGGTGTTGCCAGCACGCATAACATCAGGCATTGCATTCTTGTTATGAGGGAAGGGAGTGCTCGACAGGCCAGTCAGATAAGACTTCCAGAAAGCGTCAGACTCCTCCATATCCTTCTTCACCAGGTAGTCAATGAACAGACTGTAAGGTGTGCCAGCGCGCTTGTTCTCCGAGGTAAAGTAGTTCTCTTCGACCTTGCGGAATACCAGAGGAATACTCCAGCCGTCATAAAGGGCGTGGTGAACAGACCACACAAAGTAGCTATCGGAGGAGCCACGGGGATGCACCATGGCGTATCCCGTCAGAGGTGCTCCATTTTGCTTGGGCAGGTGAAGGATGTCATTGGGCAGCGCATCGAACGACTCTGCTTCGACCCAGGAGATAGGGGCACCCTTCAGGACAACTTGGGCAAAGTTCATAGCTTCGGTGTGGACAATACGAGTGCGAAGAATTTCCAAGTCGGCCACTGTTTGTTGCCAGGCCTGTTTGAATTTACCAACATCAATTCCAGCAGCAAGGCGGAAGGAGGGCTGAGCAACATAAGCACCGTGATGCTTGATAGAGAGCGTCAGAAGACCCTCCTGCACAGCACTGCATGGGTAGATATCGCTGATGAGGTCCTTGGAGACTTCGCAACTGTCGGTGACTTCATCCATCAGGTTTTCGAGATAGACTCCAGAGGGCAGCAAGGAGAACGCCTTGACGTTTTCTTTCTTAGCTTCAGGAGCTCCATCAGACATGACGCAGCTCCTAGCCATGTCGACCAAGATTGGGGAATTGAAGATGCTGGAGACGGTAAGTTCGATACCTTCTGCTTGAGCAGCGCCGACAAGGTTCATGGCGGACAAGGAATCACCACCCAGACCGAAGAAACTGTCATCGGCTGTCACAGAGCCAGCTTCAAGCTCGAGGGTCTTTTCCACAAGGGCCACAAGCGTAATCTCTAGGCCAGTGGATGAGGAAGGCTCCCTTCTGTCTGAGGTGTTGAAGGTAATGTAAGATTTGAGAGTGTCCTTTGACAAGGTCTGAACCATGGCGCGCAGTCTTCGGCGGTCAATCTTCGCCGAAGAAGTGAAGGGCAAGTTGCGGATAGGGAAGAAGAGTCGGGGTATCATGCTCTGAGGCAGAAGCTCGGGCAGAGAGCCCTTCAACTTCTGAATGGTATCCATGTTAGACACAGAGATGGGCAGTAGCAGGGGGTCGGCTCCAGAAATCGTGGGAGCGAATTGATCGCTGCTGCCCCCGTTGGAATCCGGGTCATGGACGGTGAAGAATGCGGCGAGGCCCTTGGCGATGGTCCGTTCCTCGGGAACAACGACATCAACAGCCACCTGGGAGTCCTCAGGTAGGCAGCGGAGACATTGTTGTTCGATCTCCTCCAGTTCAATTCGCTGGCCATTGAACTTGATCTGAGTGTCTTTGCGGGAGATGAAAGCCAGACTGCCATCGCTGTTATAGCGAACAAGATCACCAGTGCGGTACATGCGATCATTGCGCTTGAACACACTCTGCAAGCTAGCGTGACGGTTCCACGCAGGATTCTCGAAGAATGAGGCCTTGGTTTTTTCCTCGTTGGCAAGGTATCCACGAGCAATGTTGCTTCCTTCAAGGATCAATTCGCCGACCGCACCAACGGGCAGCAGACGGTTGGAGTTGTTTGGATCCACAATCCAGACTCTGCAGTTAGGAGATGTTCCAATGGATGTGGGATCATCGTTGACACGGTTGCCATCCCAATCAACTTTGACACCAACTGTGGCAACGACAGTGGCCTCGGAGGGACCATAGGCATTGATGACACACCGGTCACCCCAGCGGTCGATGTGGTTGGCGGGCATCTTCTCGCCACCTGTGATAATGACCTTGAGTGTGGGGACGTTCTTAGGCTCTAGGGTATTGACGATGGCAGGAGGAGCCGAGATGAAGGTGGCTTCCATACGGCGGATGGCACCACCCAAGTTGTTCATACGTTCCTCCTCGCTGGGGATACAGACACAACCACCAGTCATGAGAATCATCATGATCTCCAAAATGCTGACGTCAAAGGTATAGTTAGAGAACTGCAAAGCACGGGTGGTGGAGTTCATGTGCAAGGAATCGACCAGGGCGATCGCGGTGGTGCTAAGGGCAGTATGCTCGACAACAGTCGCCTTTGGCTTCCCAGTCGTACCAGAAGTGAAGATAGCATATGCAGCATTGTTCGGGGTAGGACGAACACCAGGCAAAGCTAAAGGCGAGTCAGGAAGTTGGGAGATTGAAGTCTGACAGACGGCGAACGATTTCGCGCAGAGCTTCGAAACTTTGGTGTGGACTGAAGATGAGCACAAGACAAGATTTGTGCCGATTTCATCGATGAGCATCTTCAGTCGGGAATCCGGGTGGGATGGGTCAATTGAAACGAAGGCTCCACCCGCCTTCAGAACAGCCAGCTGAGCAACTACAGCCCAAGCTGACTTCTCGAAGCACAACACCACGAATGCTTCGGGCTTGATTCCAAGACTGGAGAGATGGCGAGCCAGACGACTAGAGACGATCTCAAGCTGCCCATAAGTGAAATTCTTGTCCCAAGAGCAAACGGCTTCTGCGCGGGGGTGAAGGAGCGCCTGCTGCTGAATCAACTCGTCGGCGCACTTCTCTACTCTAGGGGGGGATGCGGCATTCCAATCGCGGATTTGGCGAACTGAGCGCTCGGGTAATATATTGATGTCTCCGACGGTGCGGTCGCGGAGTTTGTGGGCTATCAGATCGTCCAAAGCTTGATCAAACATGTCCATGACATGGTTGACCTGGAAGGAGGAAAGAGTTTCTGAGGAGTAGTTGAAGTGGATCTCGGCGTATGAGTGCGAGACTTCAGCTTCGACCAGGATCTTGTAAGCACTGGAGGTGCTTGGCTCACGGGTACTTCCTTTGGGAAGATGGGAAGCCGTGCGATAAATCAGGGAGGTGTTGAAGAGGGTTATATCATCGAGTCCAAGCTGGTGTTTGACGGCATCCAGGGTAGCTACGTTCAACGCACTGTTCTCTGAGTCCTTCTTTGCTTTTTGGAGAGTCTCATGGAGCTTTTGCTCGTTCTGCACGAGGAAGCGGCAGGTGGCAATGCCGTTGGCCTCCAATTTAGTCTCTGAAGTCGAGGCAGAATAGCCAAAGCACACATCGTCCGAGCCCGTGTACCACCGGAGGACAACGGCCCAAGCAAACTGGAAGATAGTTTCCGCAGGAATGCCAGACAAGCTGCTGAAGGCATGGATGTTGGCGGTCTGCTTGTTGAGCGTGCGGGTGCACCGGCCATTGTCGCTTGCCTCATGGGAGAGGGCCGGGAAAACGCAGGGCTCTACATCGGCGAGATACTCCTTCCAGAAAGCGACGTTGACCTGAGAGAGACTGGCATGACGTGAAGTCCGGTTACCAGCCTTGGATCCGTTCCAACGCTTGATGTCGAAAGCCTCGAGAGCACTGCTCGAAAGCGCTTTTGTTTCGGTCTTGAGGGCCTGGCGGTTTAGCTTTCCAGAGAGGGTCAGGGGGAGGGAGGAAATGGGGATGTAGAAACTAGGAACCTTGCTAACAGGAAGACTGGTGCTCAGATTGGCGTGCAGGCTGGAGATGGCATCTTTCAGCCAAGGTGTCGCGGACTGGAGGACGCGATCCCCAGAGGTGAGCGGGGTGGTGTCGGGAGAAACCACGAAAGCAACGAGAGCATTGGTCTTCACATCATCACGTTGCAGCTGGATTCTCTCCACAATATACTTCTTCTTGTGGTCCAGGAATGAATCGATGCGCGCTTGAGTCTGAATAAGCTCGCTAGACAGGGCGGATTCATTCTTATAGTTCTTTCGGCCGACGAAAATGAGGGAGCCATCGGATTTGTATCGAACAAGATCTCTGGTCTTGAACAGGCGGTGTCTACCCCCTTCTCGTCGTCCAGAAAGCCAAGAAGCGTTCTCGAAAAAGTCGCTGCTATCTACGGACTGTTCGTCGAGGTAGCCCCGAGCAAGAACGGGCCCCTCAAGTACCAATTCTCCAACACCACCGATCGGAACAAGACGATCGTGGTTGGCGGGGTCAACAACCCACGAAACACAGGAAGTGCTCTTTCCAATGAGGGAAGCCTCGTTCTCATCCTGAGAACAAAAAACGTGGAAGGAGGCAGCCGAGCTCTCACATGTTCCGTACAGAACCTGCAATTGGAGATCATCGGTCTGCCAGTATTCAAGAACGCTCTGAGGAACCACTTCGCCACCTAGGGCAATCGATCGCAGTCCCGGAACATCCTTGGGAGAGAAGAAGCTTGCGGCTGTAGGGGTGATGCTAGCAACATTAACGTGGAGCGCATTGATAGAGGCGGCCAAGTTGAGGGGGTCAATGTCAGCCGGAATGCAAATGCAACCACCCCACATGAAAGTGCCGAATGCCTCCACGATAAATGCATCAGATGTGTGGGGTGCAAACTGCAGAGTCCTGGAGACATCGGCAATTGCCATGGTGGTAGCAAATGCTTCGGCCCGGGTCATGACAGTCGAATGGTCAAGGACGACACTCTTAGCTGGGCCAGACGTGCCGGCAGTCATAGCGACGTATGCGATGTCAGATGATTGTGTCACTGGGTTGAGAACCTCATCGGCGAGGTACTCCAGAAGAGACTCGCTTACAGGGATGACGTACGGGACGGCATCCTCGAGGACCTGAGCCTTCTCCGGGGAAGCCAGAGCAACTTGCACGGCATTGTCGGCGATCCATTTCTCAACAAGAGCCAGACTCTGAGATGTGTCAACCGGGATACATCCACCACCGGCTTTCATGATTGCCAATGTGGAGACGATGTTCCACACAGACTTCTCGAAGCAGATGGGGATCAGGGTGCCAGGACCGACGCCGAAGGTGACAAGATAGCTTGCCAAGCGAGAGGAGAACTGATCCAACTTGGAGTAAGTCAAGTTCCCATCCCAGGCAGTGACAGCCAATGCATCAGGGACCTTCTTGGCCATCTCTTGGACAACCTGATGAGCGCACTTCTCAAAGGGCTTGGGGGTCTTGCCGTTCCATGACATGATCTGGGCGCGGTTGTCCTCGCTCAAACTGTCAAGCTGGCGAATTTCGCCGTCAATGTTCGACACAACGTTCTCAAGGCAACGAAGATAGGTATTAGCCACATTGGCAGCCTGTGAATCCGAGAGGTTGGTAGTCCAATAGTTGAGGTCAATGCGAGCAGTGGTGTCCATGGCCTCGATGTTGATGAAAACTGGGAACTCGGCGGGATCGTGGATTGAGCCAACCTCAACGCACTCGATGTCACTGCTGACAGCATCCTTAGAACTGGGAAGTCGGCGGTAGGAGACACCGGAATTGAACAAATTGGTGTCGGATAGCTTCAAAGCATGTTGAATGTCAATGAGCGAAGTGTGACGGTAAGGAAGGCTCTCCATGTAGTCGTTCTGGATTTGGTGCAGCACATCACTGAGCTTCGCGTTATCAGCAACCTTCATGCGGCAGACTAGAAGGTTGATGACAGGTCCAATAACCCACTGGACGCCCTCGGCAGAGACATCACGTAGGGATGCCATATAGCTAAAGGAGACATCGTCAGATCCACAGAAGGTGCGTAGAGTAAGGCCCCACGCAGCATTGAAGACATTTGCGAGAGTGATTCCGCGCTTCTCGCAGACAGCTTGTAGTTCGTTGAGGGCTTCGAAGTTGACCGGTATGGACCGAAGTGCCTTTGACGATTGTTGGCCGTCAGTGAGGGCGGGGAAGTGGCACGGCTTAGCCTGGTCCAAGTACGAGCGCCAGTAGTTGATGCTGGCTTCCTTTGGCGCATCCTGAAGGTACTGCATATAATCTTTGAACAAAGGCTGAGGGCTTTCCTCGAGTCTGCCAGCGTATGCGAGCTGCAAGTCACGGAAGATAATTGAGATCGAGTTACCATCCATTGCAGCGTGACTGAGCTCAATGCGGGCAAACAGCCTGCCAGTAGGTGTCTGGCAAATAGTGAAACGATACGCTGGTTCCGGCTCGCTGTAATCCTTGGGGTCTTCCTTGTCAAAGGTAGCAAGCACATCATTTTCCCCTGAAGACTGCAATAAGACGGGAGCAACATCATAACTCTTCAGTACGACCTGGCAGAAGGGGTCCCGAGGGGTGAGGTTCTCAACGAATATCGTGCGGAACATTGCATGATGAGAAACGACCTTCTGCCATGCATCGACGAGGCGATCGAGGTTTGGCTCACTAGATCCGCTGGCCTTAATTTCAAAGGTGTCGTGGACAGCGTAGTAGGAGCTATCACGCTTGCGACCAAGGAGGATACCCTGCTGCATGCGGGAACAAGGGTATATATCCTCAACAAGGTCCGGGGACTCGATACCCATAGCAGGCAATTTCTCATTGAGCAACTTTTCCAAGGTAGGGTAGGTTAACGACAGCATGGGGAATGAGCTGAGAGTCAAACGCCGTTCGAGGGTCGGGAGCTGCTCGGAGAGGGTTACAAGCAGCTCCTGGCATTCAGAAACCCATCGGTGAATACGATTCTGGTGCTGCATGAACTTATTGAAGGAGAAGTTGAATCGAACCTTTCCAGACACGACCATCGCAGAGATCTCGAACAGACCGAAGCGGGGAGTATCGGCGCCAAAGTCAGCGGCACCGCCTCCTTGGCCAGCTTCTCCGGCCATCTGATCAACAAGCTGGAAGAGACCATCCTGCCTTTGCAGATCGCGATGTTGACCGACATAGTTAAACGACATCTCAAAGGGATGAGGGTGTTCTGACCCTTGGTTTCCCTGAGCTGGCAGGACGCGGCTGGTGAAATCTGCGCGACCATTGTCCGAGACACGACGACGGAGATCCTTCACCTGGATGAGGGTATCAAGGGGGTTGTCGGACTTGTATGTAGACACGAAGATTGGGTGCAGAATAGTGAACCAACCGACAGTATGCGAGATATCAATGGAGGGGTCCCAGACTTCTCGTCCATGGCCTTCGTTGTAGATCGTTGGGAGAGAGCGATCGGGAAACGCTCGGCCAAACGAGTGGAGCATCGCTGCCAGGAAGAGGTCAATTGGCTCTGTTCCAAGAGCTTTGTGACATTCTAGCAGAATGGCATTGGTGTGGGCTGGGTCGATTTCAAACGAGGCACAATCCACATCGCCATATGTGGTTTGAGTGTCTGTTAGCCCCCAGTAACCAAAATTAGGTGCGGCGAGAGCGTCGGTTGCAACTTTATGCTCAGCCCGGAGGGTGTTGCAGTGCTCATTCTGCAGGCGGCACCAGGTCTGGAAAGGCAAGGAGCCATCACTGGTATTTGTTTTCTCCGGGTTTAAGATGATGTCTTCCAAATCTTCTAGAAGAATTCTCCATGACACAATGTCAACAACCAAGTGGTGAGCTGTCATTGACAGGACGTTAGGCTTGCCCTTTACCAAGAAATAATCGACTGCAAGCAACGGCCCAGAGAAGCAATTGATAGAAGATTGGCTGTCGGCGACATGAGTCTTGACTTCGTCCATGCTGCCAAGACTCTGCATCCGCCATCTGTAAGATCCCTTAATATCGCGAGTGATGTGTTGGTTGGATGCCATTGCGAATCCTGTGTTAGTGAATCGTGCGCGGAGCATGGAGTGTCGCGATACCAGAGTTTCGACGGCCTTGCGGAGGGTCCGTTCATCGACGGGTTTGTTCAAGCGAGTGAGGATTCCTTGATTGAAGTGGCCTTGGCCCTCCTTGCGTACACCGAAATGAAGAATTTGGATGGGTGACAGGCTAAATGGTTCATCAATAGCTTCTTCGTAAGTCGTAAGGTGATCGATTGTCTTTGCGCGGGTTGCGAGGTCGCGGATTGATTTGCTACGAAGCAACTCCTGTACAGAGAGGAAAACCCTCGCTTCTTGCAGAGACCGATACATGTCATAGCCGCGATCGAATCACCACCGAGGGCGAGGAAACTCTGATTCAAATCGAGCTGGTTCTGGGGAATGTTGAGGACACGGCTATATACAGCTGCTAAAGCTTCTTCTCTGTCGTTGGCGGGCTGCGAGGCCTCTGTGCCAACGATTGCAACAGAGGCATTGTTTTGAATATCTGGATCATTCTCCATACCTGCGACCCAAGTGGAAATGCCCTTGCGGTCTAGTTTCCCTGATGGCAGAAGTGGCAGAGCTTCAACACACAACCAAACCGCGGGGACCATGTAGGTGGGGAGACGACCTGATAGACGCTCTCGGATTCCTGGGACAAGCTCGGCCTTTTTCGAGGCAGAGACGAGTCGTAGAAGTTCCAAGTCCGAGTCAGACTGTTCCGCAAGCAAGCCAGTAGACGACACAACTGCCGCCAGCCGTCCCTTGGAGAAACCAGTCTTAGGGAAAAAGACAGAGCAATGAGTGACGTTCAAATCTTTGCTAAGCTGATTCTCAATTTCGCCGAGCTCGATTCGTTGTCCGTGAACCTTGACCTGCGTATCCTTGCGACCGACGTAATTCAGGGCACCAGTGTCGGAGTTGTACCTGACGAGATCACCTGTCTTGTAGAATCTACGGTTAGAGCCACTTTCAGGGTCCAATTTAGTCCAAGCAGGGTCGTAAATGAACGATTCGTTTGTCTTTTGTGGATTATTCACGTAGCACCGGGCCAGGGGTGGGCCTTCCAACAGTAGTTCTCCGGGGCAGCCCACGGGGACCAGTTCATCGTGGTTATCAGGGTTCACAATCCAAGTCCTCACGCCAATAGGCAACCCGATATCTTTACAATCGGTGTCAGGTGTGACATTGGAATTCAGCACGGAGGCCACACTGGCCTCGGTAGGTCCATAACCATTGACCAGTTTGATTTTGGACCAAGTAGCCAGCTGTGATTGCGACATTGCCTCCCCAGCCAGGACCAAACTCTCCAGTCCTGGAACGCTCTCGATTTCAATAAAGCCGATGAATGATGGCGTGAAGCACGCTTGCGTCACTCGCATCTCGTTGATGGTGGTGACAATATCGTTGAGCCGAGCTTCCTCGCTCGGAATGCACACACAAGCACCATGAATGAGCGCCGTCAACGTCTCGGACAAACTGGCATCAAATGTGTGGGCGGCGAATTGAAGGCATCGCGACTCCCGATAAATGCGCAAACCGGGTCCATGCACCATCGCCCCGGATAGGAATGCGCGGTGCTCCAACAGGGTTCCCTGCGAAACATAAGTCAGCTATTCCTGCAGCAAATAATATTTTTAATCTTCATAAATGACTTACCTTGGGTTCTCCTGTTGATCCAGAGGTAAACAGAACATAAGCCGCATTTTGACTTGTGACACCTGATGCAAGGTTCACACTGTCCGCGGGGTCAGACAGAGGATCTAGGGTATCAGCACAGAGGGGAATTAATGTCTTTGCGATAGGACGAAGTTTATCGGCAAGATGCTGAGAGCACAGCACAACCGGTGCCTGAACCGATTGGATGAGAGCTTGCAGTCGGGAAGTTGGGTGAGTCGGGTCCAATGGGACGAAAGCTCCCCCGGCTTTCATCACGCCAAGCATTGCAACAACGTTCCATTTCTGTTGAGTCCCGATGTCAGTATACACAACTTAATAATTCAGGAACATTAATTCATGAAACATTCGACTTACCGATTTATCGAAACACAAAGCCACGCGGATTTCCGGCCCGACTCCCTGCATGCGAAGATAGCATGCAAGCTTCGATGCCTGGTGATCCAACTCGGCGAACGTCAAACTTCCATCCCACGCACACACAGCCTCACGATCAGGTCCGCTCAACATTTGATCGTGTATGGCCTCGTGAATGCAGCGATCGTAAAGTTGTGGAGTAGTGGCGTTCCACTTGCGGATGCGTTGCCAGTCGTTCTCCGAGAACAAATTAAGCTGGCTAATAGCGGTGTTCTCGGCGGAAAGGACTTTGGCAAGCAACTGCTCAAAAATGGTTGCAATACTCTTCATCTGTTCCCCGGACATGTCACCCTTGCGCCATTCGAGGAAGATGCTGATGTCTCCACGCAGCACCTTAACATGAAGACGGACTTGACACTGCGCATTGTTAGCCCAATTGCAATTTTGTCGAAAGAAAGATCCAATCGTCAATTTGTGCTGGAGTAGACTAACCTCATCTGGAAGAGCTGTTGCCAAAATAGGTTTTGAAGGAGAAGCAGGCGGGTCGTATGTGCGCAGCATGAAGATGGTGTTGAAAGGAAGATATGCGTCGGAAGCGGCCTCGGAGCTTCCATTGGGCTGGCGATTCGCACTGTTTGCGCGCACCTTATCTACAATTGCTGTGATGGAGTCGTTGTCGTCGATGGATATGCGGATCGTCGAAATGTTGACGCCGGTAGAACGCTGTACAGATGATTTGGGAGAGCGGGAGTCACCCTCGAGATGTTGGTAACCGAAGCATATATCCTCGGAGCGGATATAGTAATGCAGCAAGAGAGCCCAGGTTGCTCGTAGCATTGGGTCTAGACGGCCTTCGTTCCATGCGGTTAATAACTGCGCATGTTGAGCAGCCGTCGGTCTCGTCTTCATCGAGACTGGGCGTTTAGGCCCGTCAACCGTCGAAGCGAACCGAGGAAGATAGCACTTGGTGGATTGAGCCATGGCATGTAATGGCTGGTTATTACCAGGCTGTCTTCTGTCTTTCGTTTCGTGCTTTCCGGTCGATGGAGAGTGTTTGTATGTGTGGGCCTAAAGTACGAAGGATGAACGACAGTATTAATTCGACAGTGATTCAAGAGCGCACGCGAACTCGGACGGTCTCGCCTTATTTTAAAGAAGTACGAGTCTTTTTCTAAAAAAAAGGTATTTTCCTACCACATCGAAAATAGCTACGGCCGGAGACTGCATGGGCCACACTCTCTCCCAGTAATAGACGCTATATATATTCCTTGCATGGGATCTAGATGGAAGGGAGAGGGAGGGTGAGAGACAATACGTGGATTCAGGTGTACTTGGCCCCCTGTGGAACCAAGTCAGACACTTTTCTGCTTTGCTAATTCTTTTTCTTTTTCCTGTTTTTATTTCCGAGAGAATTGCTACGTCGAATTTCTCATTTTCTATTTTGAACCGCCAAGGTAACCCTTGGAAAAGGACTAGCTTACTCGAACTAGTACGAAAAGGTAATCATGCAGGGGAAAGGTCCCTACTCTCTCTCTCTTCTGGGTGTACTTTGTACTCCGGAGTGCTCTTCCAAGCGAGAACCTGCAGTTCCCCCGATCAGGAACCCTTGCGGTCTGGAACGTGGACCTAGTGGTTCAGAACAGCCGTCAGGGGCGTGAGGCGTTTTAGCCCCGAATCAAGTTCAGATTTGATGGCGTTATCGTCTACAGGTTTTTTTCGCCCTAAGCTTACAATGTTGCAATGCTGACGTTGATGGCTTCGTTGTCCATGTCAATCCCGGTTAGGCAAGCTGGCGAACAGGTGCATATTCCCAGATAGGATTTACATAATACCCTCGCTTCATACCGCGGATATAGGCTCTTGCTTCTCCGATGCATTGGCATCGCCACAGATATACGAGCCTCGTGAGGCGCTTATAGGTTACGATGTACACCGACTGATGCGCACATGGCACTGACCCCGGACTACTTACTCCAAGCTCACCTCTACTCTGGAAGCTCTGGTGCTGGGGACGCATGGCATGGAAATCCGAGAACTGGGGTCTGCATCAGTAAGGTGTGGCGAGCTAGGACGGGGGTCGAACGACGATTTACCGCGCAGTTCAGGCACTACCGCAGCGAGGGTGTAGTGGAGGGGGCGATCCTGTCCGGTGATCGCGATGGGAAAGTTAATTTGCCGGAATCTGACACGATCGTGTCTTGGAAGTGTTGGAGAAGTTTGGGGGACGTTCAGGAGTCAAGAGAGAAAAGAATCTCGAACAAAAACTTGATTGTGGGGTTCAATCTCCGAGCTGAGGTTATCACGCCCTTCGTGCTTCGGATCTCCTAGTCTATAAATCCGAATATACAGGGGTAGATATGACTAGCATCGGAGGAATACTCGGTTAAAAGTGAAATAATATTGGATCTTGTTAAGGTATGGCCGGCTATTGGATCTTAGAATGAAATTTGAGCTAGTTTATAGAAATTTTCACGGAGGGAATGGATGTAATCTAATGTGTACCTGATGTGTAAGACAGGGAACAAATAGTACGCCACTATTATGATCGGTTCTGCAAGGGCCTTCAAGGGATGCGGGCATATCCGAACCAAGCGACCTGTCGACTTGGCGTGTATTTATATATTAGTAACATCCACAATACGTTCAATAGCTCAATACTAAGCAAGAATATGAATATAAATCCAAGCGAAAAGGGGAAACAAAATATCTTATTCCGTACTCGGTACAGTTCCTCCGATTATATCCAGCTGCGTCAAAAACATGGGACTCATGTGGTACAGATCTGCATTGCTTTTTTTCCTGCTTCCTCACGTTTTCTTTTCTTTTCTTTTTTTAGTGAATTTAAGTCGCTCTCGTATAAACACCTGGAAGGTACAAAGGTACATTTGTATGCCCGCTATTCTCACTAGTTAAGACATTAATATAAGTGCATGTCAGATGTACCTATTGGAAAGTGGGAATTTTTTTTAGAGATCCACACGGGAAAGGCCGTGATTAGTGTTGGGAATCCAAAAGCTACACAGACTAGCACTAGTTGGCACTTATGACGGGCCAACCTAGCGCCCGCAGGTTGGCGTCGATTGTGAACTAGTCCAATGGAGAAATTTGACAGGTTAATCTTATTGTCGATCACCGGACCGATCACTATGTGAATTTCGGCACGCTTTGAGCCCCCCAAAAAAAGAGCAACATCAATCAACAAGTATATATCGACATAAGGGAGTACAAAACATACAAAACATAATACGGAAATGTATCTGCGTAGGATAATTTGAAATCCTCTGCACATGTGAGCACAAATGGTGCAAAATGTACATCAGTGGGGGTCATTATGCATAGGATTCGCCACCCATCAACCACGCTTCTAAGACAAGGGAAAAAAAGAAAATGATAGACAAAAATCCGGCTTACCCTGGTCAGCTCGGCTCCATCGGGGACAGTTGGTCCTCACGCACTATAGTTAGCTGTAGGTACAGATCCCGACTCATGCACATTGGCCCAGCGCGCGCCACGCGAACCACCACGTCTTGGAATATGCAGGATTTCAGGTTGGGCAGCCTCAATTGAAATCAGAAATACCGACGACAGCCGAAAACTCCGAAAGGATTCTATGTGGGCCATGCCCAACAGTTAAGTAAAAAGGAACGATTGGCCCGGATGAATTGAAGTTGCGAATCCCTACCGCCACTACCGAGTCAATAGAAGCAAAAAAAGACGCCATGACAGGTGGAGTTGGAGCGATTGGCGATTCGATTGTGGATTGTAATCGTGACGAGGACTCGCAGAAAGCAGTTGTAATCTGCATCGTATTTCCTAAGGATTTTTTTCTCCGAATGTGGAAGATGCAAGCGATTTCCTTCACCGTGTCCGACTTCAGCTTCTGCGGTCAAGTAGAGTTTGAGAAATGTATGTATATATATATTGTAGGTTTGGAGAGTGAGAATAAGAATAGTAATAAATTAAATTAAATTAAATTAAATTAACAAAAAACACTGTTTCGAGCCTAATGCCCCAGATCTCCCATCATACAGATAGAGGCTTTTCTCCTCACATGAGCGGGCAGCGATTTTTTGCCCTAAGTCGACAGGGCACTTGGGCCATATGCGCTAGACATTGGCCATTGCAACTCATTCGAGGTGATTGGACTCATTGGACTCTAATTATTTTATTCCTGCAAGGTAACACGAGTCCCTCGTGTCGCTCGGGGTTTACTCACGGTTTCCTTGACTCCAGGGGCGAAAAGATCTAGTGATGCTAATGGTATCCCCCACATCCCCAAGGGGGAAAAAGGAACCTATCCGCAATTTGCCTTGAGAATCAGGACCACTACTGATGACGGAAGTGGAGTCATGAAATCACAAGTGCAATCTCCCAAGGTCTTATAGTAAAACAAAATAAAATAAAATAAAAACAACCTACTAAAAAAGAAAGAAAAAACGAACCAAAATAGATGCAGCGGAATGGATCCATACACACCTAGCCCGAGTGAAGATGAGCTCACAGGGCATTGCCAGTAATAGCATTGTAAGATGGTTGCATCAAGTGTTGTATTCATGCCCACTTTGATGCAGCCAACCAGTAACAGGGTCATAAGGGTGAACTCAGGGTTGTAGTTCTCCTAGATGTAATGAACTCCTGCCTAGAGGGATACGGACCTCGTTTAGCCCTATGTACCTCTTACTATGGTGACCTAGTAGTAAAGCTGACTGTTCTTATGTCACTTTCTGATGCATCCGATCTAGACCAAAAAGCCGCAAGTTCCCCGAGCTAATGCAAGTTCTTTTAACCATACACTCTTTTGAATTCTAAATCCCCGTGCCGCTCGTTATTGCTCGTTATTGCGTCTTTCTTTTCTTCAACCATCCTTCTGTCGCCAGGTGGTTCAAGGAATAGACATGACATCCTCTCGCTATTCAGGGCCTTCGTGCCGCGATCTAGATAATACTCTCCGTATTGATGCTGGATCCTGTCGCGGAGGATTCGATTTCTCGCTTTTGTTTGAGGAGACTATCCTCCAGATTTTACCTATTTTATTAATGCTAATCATTATTCCTGTTCGTCTGTGGCATCTTTCGCAAAAACGAAACAAAATTGTGCGATCATGGTTGGTCCTCATCAAGCTTGTAAGTTGAATGTTTTGCAATACTCTGCTTTCTGCAGTTCATATGCAACCCCCCGATCCCCCTGGTCTTTGGAATTGGTGAACCATTGAATTTGGAATACTGTGATCTAATAACGATTTCTGAACAGGCAGCTTGGTTGGCACTGCTGGGTCTTCAAATTGCACAAACAGCCCTATGGGCCCTTCCGGCAGCCGACAGCACCAAGACATCAGTTCCAGCCAATGTGATCTTGACAATTGGCGTACTCGCTCTCACTCTACTTTCATATGCAGAACACACGCGCTCTGTGCGACCCTCCTTCATTTTGAACACCTACCTCTTCTGCAGCTTGCTTTTCGATATCGCTCGGTCTAGAACTCTCTGGCTTCGCAGTGTGGATGCCTTCAATAACATCCTTGCCATTGTCGCTACGGTAGCGGTGGGTGTCAAGTTTGTTCTGTTCGTGCTCGAGGCTGTGGAGAAGAGACACATTCTCAAATCGGAATACACCGGTTATCCTCCAGAAGCGACTGCAGGTTTCTATAACCGTGCGGTGTTCTGGTGGCTGAACCCACTGTTCAAGATCGGTTTCACCGGTGTGCTGCGAGTAGAGGATCTCTTTTTATTGGATAAAGAACTGAGCTCTGAGCGCCTCCTGGCTCGATTTGATGAGAAATGGAGCAAAGGTAATTACTTGTCCTGACGATATGCGGTTTTCTGTCTCTTTTGCTAATATGTCTTCAGTGACAACTAAATCGCCGAACACTCTCCAATGGGAGTCATTGAAGGCTGTCAAATGGCCTCTGCTTGCAGGTGTCCCTGCTAGAGCTTGTGTCGTAGCCTTCAACTTCTGCCAGCCTTTGCTCCTGGAGAGGTCGC